TCTGCCAGATTAAATCCCCTCCAGGAACTTTTTCCTGAAATGATTGAAATCCATTTTTGGAGTTTGCAAAGTGTGGCTTGCCACGAGCTTCCAGCTCCTTTCTGCAGTTTAATGACAGTGCCTGGAGACATGGAAATAAGAATGTGCTATAACTAGACAGTTATGCTGAGCTGTTTCTAACTTAAAAATAGGAAAGTAACACAGGTGGTAAACACTGTTAAATTTGTTTTACAGCTTGTTCTCCCTTCTTGGCATTGAGAAATGCCTTCCTCGTGACAGGACCTAACACACTATTACTGTGACAGCATGGGGTCTGTGTCTCCACTCTTAAAGTGCTTCTCTTGTTATCTTTCTTGACTTGGTGAAAATAAATTGCCCTGTTGTTTAAGGGAAAAAAAATGTAGCTAAAAATAAAATGCGGCTTTATAAAATATGAGCCACAGCAAGCCTGTGTTTTTGCCTGCAGCCTGTTATAATCCATTTGCAGAAGTGCATGCTGAAAATGGCAGTTCACCACCATAATGCTTTCATCATAGCCGGTAAAATCTATAGGCTGTGAGCAAACAGAGAAAGTCTGTCCTGAAAACCTTTTAAGCATTAAGATTTGCCCACAACAAACCATAATCACAACACGAGCTTGTAACCTTTGTCTTTCAAGCTTTTTGTAAGCTTGTGTCTTTCACCATGCCAAATGTTATTTCTTCACCAATGGTTATGAAAGAGACTTCGTTTTGACACAGGACTTGAAGAATGTAGTGAGATTTGCACAACAAAAACGCCTGTATTTTGCCATAATAATCAAAAACCAAAGTGTTTTATCAGTTGTGAGCTAGAAGTCCCCAAAAGCAGAACAGTTTGAAGGACAGCAGACTCTGTAGGCCTCACCCATCACCCCACCACTCTTCACTCTGTAAGCAGAGTGTGTTTTGCAAAGGCCTTTTTCCATTAAAGTCCTCAAAAACAGAACCAAACAAGAACAGATGAAGAAAACACCACCTCCCCTCACCATCATCGATGGTAGTCTCGATGGTATTCATCGTCGATGGCTGGCCCTAGCTTTTTGGGGGCCCCTCCAGATCACGATTTATCAGCTCCCACCCCTAACTTATTTTACTATTTAGAATAATTAAATACATGAATTATATAACTTATATAACATTTATTAACCAGATTTGCAGAACATTGTAATAAGTAGCTTGCAAACAGGAGGCACACACTTGACAAAGATAACATGTATTATTACATTGAAAGTAACAATGTGAAATGTGAATCTGTTAACTTTTAGTAAAACACCTAAAGTAGTCTACATGGCTAGCTAGAAAATGTGGCTTGTCTACTATTCACTAGTTACATGAATCTGTAACTCTGAAGCTTTAATGAACGAAGCCTGTCCTCTTCTCAGCATTCAATGGGTAAGTCCCTTTGAAGGACAGTGTGCAACATTTGGTTACCAGGTGCAACTACAGGATTTTAATTTTTAACTATTAAGCAATATGTACATACTACTTTACACAATTTGAAAAAAAAAACACCGTTCAGTGAAGTACCAACTGAAATCACAATAATGTACTCATCTAAGTCATTTACTACATTGACGGTAAAATAAACTGCTGCACTTATATTCACGACTAATATCATTTCAACAAACTTTAACAGCTGAGAATAGTACAACAACAACACAAAGAGCCATGGAAGGAATTTTTGGCTCACAGTTGAATGTGCTGATAAACAAAATGTTGAGGGGGCTCCTTGGCAGCATCGGGGCCCTAGGCAGTCACCTACCCTGGTGGTAAAGATATAAATCATATGGAGACAGGTCATGACAGAGCCATGGGAACCATGTTCTCTTAACCCCACAGAAATTAAGTTATGTTCTGGACATATGGGCCAGTGTTGCTCAAGTATAGACCTACCTACAGTACTTGGAGAGAGTAAAGAAACTCAGTGCTCAGAATAGACGGTCAAGAAGAAGACATTTTTTGACAACCAACAATATCTCACGAAAGCGTTACTGACACACAATCAGATGGCCACCCACATGTAGGTGAATGTACTGTAGGTGAATGCTTTAAACACTGAGGGTTGCTTTAGAAATTTTCCCATGGATTCAACATGCGTGTCTGAGCTATTAGTTTCCCACAGTCTGTATCACGATTTACATTGCTTTTCCACTCTGTTTTTGTTTTGTATTTGTATTCGAATGGTTTCACAGTGCTCCGACACTTGACTGTTTATATTACCCATGCTACACCAGAGTGAGAGCTTTAGGAAAACCCAGGATGACACAACTGATACGTTTCCCTCTGTGTTCTGATGACTACTTCTTTCAGCAAAAAGCTGAATATTTTTTAAGCAAGCTACCTAAACATCAGAAAGTGAGAAGTGGAGTGAGAATTAACTGACCAAGAAAGGCATATACAGTATAGACTGCAACCTTGATCCATGAACATTCCCTTCACATTTTAAGAATGGGACATCATCATATTTTATCCATCTATCCATTTTCAACCACTTCTTCCAATTCATGATCACAGGGGAGCAATCCTGACCATCAACGGGCATGAGGCAGGATACACCCTGGACAGGAAGCCATTTCATCACAGGCCACACATAGAGACAAAGATGCACACTCACACCAGGGCCAGTTTTCCCAGAGGCCAGTTTACCTATCAGTACTGCATGTCTTTGGACTGTGGGAGGAAACCAGAATACCTGGTGAAAACCCACGTGAACACAGGCAGAACATACAAACTTCATGCAGATAGCACCCCAGGAATTGAGCCCTGGGTCACTACAAGCACTACGAGATAGCAATGTTAACTACTATATCACTGTGCCATCCAGTCTGTTTTCATACTGAATTCTATTGAAACATCTTCATGCCATGCATATCTCATTTTGGTGTAATATGTATTTTTTTCACAATGAAACTTACTGTTACTAGTAATTACAGTTCACATACAATACCTATGAATTACCATCCAGAAGACTCTAGAGTAGCAATTTCCTTTCTATAACTTTGTACACAATATTCTAGACAAGACCTTATTAGTGCATACATTTTTCATATTACATCTATTGATTTAAATTCGGTCCCAACTACAGTATATATACCAGCATTTGGTTTGTTGCCTTTTTATTTGCTTCCCCATATTGTCTAGAAGATGTAAATGATGCATCGACATAAACAGCCGAGTCTTTTTTTGTAAGTGGCCTCTTCAGTATTTACCACTTTGAATTTGTAATGTTTGTTTTACCTGCATCCAGTAATCAGTCCTTGTCTACTTTAAACATCATCTCTCAGATGTTTGCACAATCGTGATTTCTATCTAAAATTTTTTAATTTCATTTGCTACTTCTATGGTGTTTGCTAATCCTCCTAATTTGGTAGCATATGCAAACTTGACAAGTCAACTGTTTTGGAATCTAGATCATTGATATTAATTAAAAAGAGTAGTAGTCCCGGAACCCTGTGGTAGTACCCCAATTATTATTAATAATTCAATGTTTTTCTGTATCCTCTTTTTTCTACATAATAACTAATTCTCAATCCAATCATTTGCACTTACCTTAAAGGTAAATTTATTTTAATTAATTTAAATAAATGTAAGGTGGCTGGTACAGGGACTACCTGGCAAGGAAAAGGGCACAGGCTGTGAGACAAGGTGTTTGAGAGGCAGCCATAAATTCGAAGACAACAGTTGGAGATCTCCAATACACACTGACATCTTCAGCATCAAAGTGTCAAAAACTACCATTCAAAGTCGTGGCTGGGTTTCAAGGAAGAAATCTTTTCTGGCAGTGAATATCTCATAAGCAGAAGCGAATTTTGCCAAACTAAAATATACCTGAATGCCAATGGGAACCATGTCTTATGGTTAGATAAAATTATATTGAGCTTATTGGTCACGCTCATTAGTATTTGACATAAAACAAGTGAAGCTGATGTTGGAAAACCACCGTGAAATAAAGCAGAGGTCTATGTTTTGGGTTGTTTTGCTTTTTTACCCCCGCACTATCAAACTATTAAACTCCCAGCCTCTCTCACTCTCACCTCACCTCTCACCTATGATCTGAACCTCATAGTGCCTTCTTTCTTACCAAAAACTCAAACACACATTGAAATGTACCTCTGCCTTACATGTCAAGAAGCTCACTCCCCATAATTTCTATCCTTTTATTTCATTCTGTTGATGCATGTTTTTGCACATCTGATGTTGTTTTGCACATTACCTGTCCTGTTGTCTCTGTCTTTCTTTTAATATACAATTGTATTGTTGTTTTTTTGTACTACTTATCGGCTGAGAGCTACAGTAGCTAAATAACATTTCATTATACCATATACCTGTATATGAGTATAATGACAATAAACTTGAACTTGAACTTGATAAGGGAAATCATTAATTCTGGTCCACACACCTGGTTCCCTCTTCCAAGAAGCTCAAGCTGTGCTGAAAATGGACATTCCAGGATAACAATGGTCCAAAGCGTACATCCCAACCAGCAAGTGAATGGTTACCTGCAGACAAAATAAACATTTTTGACTGGCCATTTCATTTTTCAGACTTCGTTCAAATCAAGATTTGTGGTTCAAACTCAAGAAGGCTGTTCACAAACAGAAACCAAAGAGTGTGAAGGACCTAGAGCAATACAGCCTGAAGAAAAGATTCCTCAGATGTGCCAGAAACACATAGGATAGCAAGTGTAATCCGTGCCAGAGAAGCCTTTATAAAACATATACAGTAAAATAATGTGACTTAAAATTTATTGTAAATGACAAATATAATTTTATGCTGTGCAAATCTATTAAGAATACAGTATGATTTTTTTTCCAAAAATCTATAAGTCTTCTGTTCTGTGATGTTTTAAAGTATTTAATGCGTATTTAGAGTACAATCTGAAAAGCACTATAGCGTATAAGAAGATATTGTTTGTTATGAGATATCAATAGGGCTGATTTGTATGAGAACTAAAACCCTCTCTCTTCTGTCACATTCCAGAAAAGTGTCAAAGAAGGACTGCTGCTGAAACAAACCAGTTCCTTCCAGAGATGGAAGAAGAGATATTTCAAACTGAGAGGAAGAACTCTCTATTATGCCAAAGATTCAAAGGTACTGATTTAAGTATTTCTCTAATTTCCTGAAATGATTAATTAAATATAATTTTGTTATATGTACAAAATATTTTTTGCCATTGTATTTATAAAAAGTCTGATATATACAGTATGGTAAAAATATGAAAAGATTTATAAATAAGAGAAGGTTATTCAACGCCTTTATTTTATTTTGTTGGGAAAAATTTAGTAACTACCACAATTTGGATCTTCACTTTTAGTCAAACGAGTAATCCTAATACAGATCCCTATGGAACTCCACTAATTATGTCACAACAATTGAAGCTTGTCTGTACTTTTTCTATCAATTAACCAGTTCTCAATTCAAATACATTAAATATCCTGAATGGCTACTCTCTGAAATTTTAGTTGTGGGAATAAATAACCTTTGGAAGCAATAATATATTTTTTTACTTTTTTACTCTTTGATTTACCCTTTAAGTGTGTATCCTCTTTCTTTTATTAGTTTATTAGTGTTTGTATATATAACAAAACTTTTTAATGCTTCTTTCATTCTACATTCTCCAAATCTACACCTGTTTCTAAAAGGATGTTGATGGAAGAATAGTTATGAGGGATCCTGTATATATGAACTACTGTAATGCAATGGTTCATTGAAGACATTCCCAGACATCATTAGACTCAATGAAATGGTGTATGATCTTCTTAGAGAAATATAATTTACACTTGCCTATTGTCTCAGGCCTGTGATAAATGGATACTATATTAATCACTCTTTCTTTATCATTTTGCTCTTATTTCAGTCTCTAATATTTGATGAAGTTGACCTGTCAGATGCCAGCGTTGCAGAAACAAGTACAAAGAACATTAATAACAGCTTCACGGTACGTAAACAATATAGATTCGAAATAGCACTATCCTAGTCTATTTTAGTAATGAGCGTCTATAGGCCTTCAGGTCTCTCATTTATTTCTCTTCATCCTTCTGACAGGTAATCACCCCATTTCGAAAGCTGATCCTATGTGCTGAAAACAGGAAGGAAATGGAGGACTGGATTGGTGCTCTTAAATCTGTGCAGAAGTGGGAAAGTTACGAGGTGAGACAAATCACTGTATTTCTGTGATATCGGACATGTTAAGGGCTGAACTCAACTGGGAAGGAGTCTCAGTGAAAAGGAAGAATGGATTAGGAAAGAGAACAACCCTTGCCAAGAACTTTCACTTGAAGGTCAAACACTGTTTCATATAAAGATACATAATGATCTACAATACTTTTGTAGATCTGTCTTTGTATTATTGTTATGTCTTTTTTCATTAAAAAGTCCAGTAAATAACAGCACACAAGCACTGATTGTGAATCTCATCCTTGGATCGTATTGAATTATAAAATTGTCGAGTTTTAAAACAGAAACTGAAGGACCACTGGGATATTTGACTAAAGAAAAGTCAGAATATTTGACTTGAATATTTGGAAAAGAAACAACGGATGGAGAGAGGAATCGTTTTCTCCTTCAAGACTGTCATATCACTTATACTTCTGTGAAGTGCATATTAATGACTGTTATAGCTGGGTAAAATCTGTAAAGAATCATAAAGTGCAATAATAAACCATAGAGGGAACATTCTGTGCAGACTGGTTGTAGTCAACCGTCATTAGGGCAAGGAGCCATCTTACTCAACTAACACAGACATGTTTTCTCCACAGGCCAGCCAGTTCAACATGGAGCACTTCTCTGGGATGCACAACTGGTACGCCTGCTCCCACGCCCGGCCCACCTTCTGCAACGTGTGTCGGGATGCCCTCTCAGGGGTCACTTCACATGGACTGTCCTGTGAAGGTATTCTCTCCTCCATGGACCAGATGACACAGCATCCAACATCACAACATGTAGTGAGCTATTTGACTCAAACACATAAAACACTGCTGCGCTCGTTTCCAATATCTCACCGTTTCTCCAATTATCATGTTGGCATACCATAGGTAAAAAAGGCTACAAAGGTCAACAAAGCAAAGCACAAGCAGAAATGTATTCAGTTACAGAACTCATAATGCTGAGGGGAAACGTGTTAACTTACGCATTGGTGAGATTATTTTTGAGAATGAGAATATTGCCATTGCATTAAATCATAACCACCAGCAGATTACAATACTGTTAGGAGAACTATTGAAAATCAGATATTTCATCTTTCTATTTTACATTTGTCTTGACTTTATGACTTTTCTTAATAGAATTGAGTAGAATTTCTAAGATTGAGTGTCTATTTGTTTTTTTATAATGTGTAATTTGCAACATCTATGGTTACTAGCCTAATTTCTTCTTTTTGTTTGCCTCCAGTGTGTAAATTCAAAGCCCACAAACGCTGTGCAGTTAGATCAACGAACAACTGTAAATGGACCACATTAGCCTCCATAGGCAATGATATTATTGAAGATGAGGATGGGGTAAGTAAACACAGGCCTTTCAGTAAAGGTATGAAGCAAATGTAATTTGCAGGCTTGGTATACCAAACTTGGGAAGGAACTTGTCTGTCAACAGGCACAATTCACTTAGTTACAAGATTACATTACCAATGCAAGATCTCAAAATGGCCAGCAGCTTTGAATTACGAATTTCTCAGGTGTAACACAAACACAATCTTTTCACAACAATTTGTATCCTTGGAGCACTAACTTAATAGAAAAAGTGTTACATATATGTCTTATCACATGTTAAAGCTAAATTTGAAACATCTACAGACAGTAAGGAAGAACTTTCTTTGCATCCAGCTTAAGGGAACTGATGTTTGATCTTTTTCAAGCTTCTTCTGAACAAATTTTAGTTTGTATCAAAATGAATCAGGCTGACCACAGTATGTTCATTTCACAGTGTGATTCAGACACCCAGCATTCCATAATGACATAGACTAAGTGTTGTATTAATGCAAATTGCTTCTTTGAAGAAAACCATTTTATAATCTTATCTAATGTCATGCCATTCCATACTTCACATTAAAGAATACTGTTCTTTCTGTATATAAATTAGATGTTTTAGGATTATCAGTGATTTTTGTAGAGGACTAGAACTATTGAGAAATGGGCAAACGGCAGACTGTGATTTCCAAACACTACAAAAGTAAGACAAGTGAGTGTCTTGCTCTCCTTTCCAATAAAAGAAGATTCACGCTGATCCTGGAAGGCATACAGTTTCTTCACTTGTGTTTATAGAGAGGATTCAGAGAAATTCTTCTGTACCTTATAAAACAGTATATGATATATATGATTTTTTATTATCACCATGCCTTCCAACTTCCAACACATGAACATACCAGGAAGTTTCATACTGTACCAGAAAGTGACACTAAAGAAGCTCAAAACCTTTTGACAAAAGGCAAGACTAGGAAAATACAATTAATGTAGACATGCCAATAGTTATTATGTGCAGGTAGCAAAAACATGAACTATTACTACATAAAAATTGGTAAAACTGATCTTGAAGATGGCACTTGTGAAAAAGAATGAAAATTATGGCTTATGGTGAAAATTCATTTTGCTTCTCTAGACACCTTTAGGGAGCATGAATAAAAAAACAAATAGAATGAAAAGAAAGAATGAATGTATAATGAATGTATCCCCACACCACACATAAGATAGAGCTGCTCTGAAATCAGTGCAAGGAATAGTAAACAGACACATGTCTAGGCTTAAAAGAATATCTAAAACATCTGACAGGCTGAAGAAAATGAACCTGTTTAGTCAGGAACAAAGAAGAAGATTGTGAGGGCACCTGACTCACATATTCAAACTATTAAGAGTCAACATGTAACACAACCTTAAGGACATAAGCAGCACACTCCAGTCATCTAGAGCAAGCTACACTACCGTATTGCTGAAGCTTATATAACAGCGTCCTTCAAGACACAATTAATCTGATTTCTGCAGATCGATAAGGTACTAGCAGCTAAATGAACTCGATGATCTGAGTAGTTTCTTTCATTTCTCAACCTCTTTTCTCATGTTCGTACACCAACATTGTAAAAGAACTACTGCAAACGGAGTAGCCTAAGGTATAACTTCAGAATATGGAGTCTGGGCACAGTCAGTTGCACCCCTCCAGGCAGAATTTAGAGGTAGGCCTACAGTATATGCCGAGCCTCACACTCAGCTCTTTAGTCCTGTTTCCTCTTTCACAAGAAGAGTATTCTCAAAACTTGACACGAAAGGAAACACCCAGGTGTCAATGAACTGTTCTGTCTCATTTTTTCTCAGGTGGCAATGCCTCACCAGTGGCTAGAGGGAAACCTGCCAGTGAGTGCCAAGTGTGTGGTGTGTGACAGGAACTGTGGCAGTGTGCGCAGACTGCAGGACTGGAGGTGTCTGTGGTGCAAAGCTATTGTGAGTCACCTTCACCTTCCACCACTGATGAACAAGAACACAAAACAAACTCTTCTGTAGCTTCTTCTGGATGTTTTATATTTCATTGCCACTTTACTCAGATATAATGTTTTTCTTCAAATATACTGCTTTTCTAGAATTAATTAAAAAGCAAAAAAATACTTAGTTGTTAAAAAATGATGACCTAGATCTCTGGGTGGCTCATCCAGTAAAGATGATGTCAGTACAAGCCTGCAAGTACCCATAAGCTCACGATTGATTAATTGAGGTTGATGTCATGTGACTGACTGATTGTGAATGGGATTTCTCAAGTTAGTTCTGTTTCTGCAGGGCAAGGGCTGCAATTAATTGCTCAAGGTTCTCTTAGCTCCAAGTAAAAAAGTGTCTCGAGCAATATCTCCAGTGACTTTCCAGTGCACATGACATCAAGTGCAAGGAAATTGCTCTTCCAACTGGTAGTGAATCTCCTCATATGTCAGTGTGGTACATTGAAAGGCAAATGGCTCAATGGGCAGTTTGGGCAAAGGAAGTTGTCTGCACTTCTTCTTTCTCCCGATAAGGGCAAAGGGATTCCTGCCATGGGCTGAGTCTTAAAGATTTTTTGGATTTTCATTTCCAGTGGATCTGGCACAGCAAGAAGAATTAGGAAGAATTAGGATACATCTCCCATTTCCGCTCCAAGGAAAAAGACTATGACTCTCCAGAATTAATTAAATAGACTGCAAATTGTCACTTGGTTAATTGCTGCTGTAGCTGCAGACCAGCAGTGACCTCTCAGATGCTGGAGAACCTGAACATATGGACAACGTCTTTCTAAATCGGACTGTCTCGGGCAAGTAATAGGCACCAAAAATAATCCTAAACATACATAAAGATAAATTTGACAATCTGGAGCCCAGATTTGTTGTTCGTGAAAATGTTTTTAAATTGGGGCGACAATCAATAGGATGGTCTGTTTCTCAGCTCAGGGTAGGGGCTATATTTACATTTCCTCCAAATTAAATTCATCACAGGTGTTCTTCTGGGTTATTTTCGCAGGTCCATAACAGCTGTAAGGAGCAGATTGGAAAGAGGTGCCCTCTAGGGCAGTGCAAAGTGTCCATCATCCCTCCTACAGCCCTCAACAGTATTGACTCTGATGGTGAGTAATGGGAAATTTCACAAGTCGCCACAGCAACCTGCCTTTTTCAATCAGAGAAGAGAGCAGAGGAGGCTTCAGTCAATAATTGATATGCTGTGTTTTCACTGCAACGTCTTCTGCCAGCTCAGCACTGCAGAGTCATCTCCCAGATGCATTCTCTCTGACTCTCCAGCAAGCCACAGTTTGGTACAGCTCTGGCTTTCGAGTAGAAAAGCAGCATGCAGAGAGAGAGAATTTAGAAAGTTTAGAACTGTCACTTCTGAGCAGGTTAACTCATGTTTACATCCATGAATTTTATGAAGTAGTTGCAAAGACCTTTACTCCTTCCAACTTGTAGTCCACCATGTTATGCTGATATAGTAGATTAGTCCTTGAAGATTTAATAACAGTTTAGCTCACAGTTCCTCAATGAACATTATTAGATTTCAAGATTTTCTCAATTTTGTGAGCATACAACTAAAAATGAACGTAAAGACCTTTAACTAAGAGGAAGGTGGAAGATGTGTGTTGAACAAGGAGATACCCTGCCTTTTATGAGTCAAGGCTGTTCAGTGCTAATAAATCTGTCATCTGCAATATTTATGATTCAAAAATGCTATTGGATTTTCATAAAAGCAATTGACTTGAAAAAAGGCGGAAACAAATCTCAGGATTAGTACAGTGATAAATTTGCAAAATTAATTACAAATGGGTTGAGCGCATTAACTTGGAGACAGAAACTGGGGCTCTGTTCCAGCAGTGACATTAATCAATATTGCTCAAATTGCATTGCTTCTTAAGCATACTTGCAAATTAAAATGTTTTTGGAAAACAGTCATTCTCTTCCATTAGGAAATGAACAGTAACCCATATGTTGGCATAAGCTCCAGGTACTCCATTCAGAATGACATCCATATATCCAGGGGCAAACCATTGACAAATTCCTAATGTAAGAAATTGTATATGGCTAATAAAGTGATCTTATCTTAATATGTGATCCCTCAGGGGAAAGGACGAAGCTAATGATTAAAAATCCAAAGGATCAATCGAATTGCCTGTCTTACACACTTCTTTCATGTTAGAAAATAATCCAACCAGGAATGTACAGAATGGGTAATAGTGAATCGTAAATGTGCATTGAATAAGAACCCAGGTGTTAATGTAGTTCTGTTCTGGTTTGCTGGCAGGGTTCTGGAAAGCCACCTCACCTTCGTGCTCCAGTCCTCTGCTGGTGCTGGTCAATTCCAAGAGTGGAGACAACCAGGGCGTTAAGTTCCTGCGCAGGTTCAAGCAGCTGCTGAATCCCGCGCAGGTCTTTGACCTCATGAACGGGGGTCCGCAGCTTGGGTGAGTGGGGCTCCTAGATTGGCGTCTAGGCTTGCTTAATTTCCTTCAATCAGCGGGAGTGGTGCAACCGGTGAACGTAAAAAGAAAATCAAGTCTAAAAAAGAAACTGAAGAAAGAGATAGTAAAAGTATTTTATTTTTAATTTTCCGTTTATTTGCTTTTATACGACTTTTACTACTGTAAAACGACTATGCTTTGCTATTATCACCAGTTTAAATGCAAGGATGAAATTACTATACATGTTTATTATAAAAGCTATGTGAAAAAACCTGAACTACACGGAAAAACTTTTATCATTAAAACAAAAGAGCTCCATGTCTGGTATAAAGTTCAGATTTATTTTAATTACCTGGTCCTTTTATGTTTCCCTCAGAAAAAACACATTATTCCATGTCTCTCCCTCGCAATCTCTCTTTGAATTTTTCACCTTTCCATTCTAAATTTCTGAATGTCTTGGCAGATGTGTGCCCCAAGCCAATTGGTTCTCCACTCCTTCAGATGTAGTCTTATCACATCTGCACAGATGGCCTTAGCATGGGAGGATTTCCAATGCCTGGAAGAGCTGAAGCTGTCTTTGACTCATCATACCCAGAGCCATGTTATCAGTTAGCATTACCAGTTGTTCAACTTGGCACAGGCAGCATTCCTGATTCTGTCCAGATTTTCAGTTTAATTTCAGAAGGCACTTCTTTACACAAAGGGTAGTGGGAATATGAAATAATCTACCCAGCCGTGTTGATGACGTGAATAAAGACATAATACTAATAAAATAGCATGTGTATCAATGTTGCAGGCTAATTGAATAGCATGTGCTATAGACTGAGCTTATCTGCGCACCAAGAACATGTATTTCATTGTGATGGGCTTAATATCTAGTAGTGTGTGTTTAAGGTAGGTGGTGGAGATGTGCAAAGCTGTAAAAGCTGTCCGAGAAGATGTTCTACACCTGGACACTAAAACTACCATCGTTCTAAAGCACCACAAACACGTCCAAGAAAGCTTCTGTGACCAAAGATCCAACAAATGTAGAATTGCAGAAGTCTTCATGAAGAAGTAAGCTTGTGTTTAAGATGCACCTGACTTTATTCTCATTTCTTTTTCCTAGGCTGCGCCTTTTTCAGAAGTTTGTTACTTTCCGTATCTTGGTGTGCGGGGGGGATGGCAGTGTGGGCTGGGTGCTCTCAGAGTTGGACAAACTGGGGCTGCACAAGCAGGTAAGGCAGGGGAGGAACTAGAATTCTGTGTGTGTGTGTTGATCATACTTTTCCCGGCCACCGCACAACTAGTAACTGTTTTCATTGACAACAAGATTCTCCAAGAGGCGACCTGTTCACGTGTCTTAAGAACACTGTTAGCTAACAGTTAGCTGTTCCTGCTGACGGTTCAAACAGATTATCTGAAGTTTATCTTAGGCTATGATACAACATGTTCCCAAATACAGCTTGAAAATAATGTCCCTACAGAAGTCATAAAAATATAGGCCAGATGAAAAAGTGTCCATTTAGTGGTAGTGCTCTTGTGTAGTTCAAAGTTCAAAAGAGAGCGACAAACATTCAACAAAATAACAAACTGCAGTTTCATTAAGGAAGTTTCATACTGGTATTCTTCAAAAATAGACCTATGGTTCCATAGTTTGGCTCTGTGACAACAAAAACAAGGTTACACCATAAAAATCAGGACTAAAGAAAGTTGCTACACCACTAGTATTAATTTACTACACTAGATTAAATACCCCAAACTGCACCTGCATCCTCTTGATGGACAGGTTAGCCTGAATTTAAACCAGAGTTTAGGCAGGGGCTGAAAATCCACACAAAATGGTGGAACAGACTGGAGACAAGGACAACACTCTGGGTCTTCAACCGGTAATACTGTACATAAATCCATCCATTTTGTAAACATTTCTTCCAATTCAGGGTCGAGGGGCAGCTGGAGCTTATGTTATGCCTAAATTCAATAGCTAATACATAAATCAACAATGCCTATTTACCATAATATCTTAAGATAGATACATAAACAAAAGACCTTATCTTTTCTGGAATGAAAAGCAAACAATGAGCATTTATGAAAGACTTCACCAGCGTTCATGAAACACTGGCTTGCAACAGCCCTTCGTCACAAAGAGTACAGAGAAAGCAATTTGAGATAAAAATGATTTGCCCAGAAATTGATTTGAGAGACAGTGTTTCATAGTCTTTAATATTCCACAGATTTTTTTTTTCTGTTCTAGAGAAGGTACTTGTACCAGAAGGAGATTACTGTAGGGCTCTGTGAAGGTCACAGTTGGTTGTGGACATCAGTGAGTTATATCGTCCACAGTGCGACTGGTGCCCACCATGCTTTCTCTTTCATGTCTGTGTGTTGAAGTGCCAGCTGGGAGTGCTGCCACTGGGTACAGGCAACGATCTGGCACGCGTCCTGGGCTGGGGGGGACTGTGTGACGATGACGCCCAGCTCCTGCAGATTCTAGAGAAGCTGGAACGAGCCACTACGAAAATGCTGGACAGGTATCGGGAGATGGTTTCTTTTTTAAAGAATTGCCCTGTGCAAACAGACAGGTTCATACCTGTAAAAAAGGCTGCAAAAGTCTAAGGCTTTGGGTCCTGTATCTATTAAATAACAACTAGAGCTGCTGAATCAATTATCAATTTTTTAGATAGATATATTGGTAAATTGATCATATTGAACTATTTGAATCTCTGATCTTTCTTACTAAACCTACAGCGCTGTTGCTTCAAGACCAGGAGTGAATCTTTGACTATATCTCAGCCAACAGGCCAGTGTAGTTTATTCATCTGTAACAGAACCTTCTCCACCTTTTATACTAAAGCCCTTAGCAGCGAACTGTAAAATTGTTCCTCAAGAATATATGTTGGGGATATGCATGTGATCTGAATTAAACGGTTGTATCATTTTATCTGCTACCTCACTTTAGGTATACTGATTTGTGCTTTTACAATACCAATTGCAGTGGTTTTAATTGACGTTTTGTGCACAACAATTTGACATTTGTGTAGTCCAGAATCTGAATGTATTTTAGCTTCAATAATTGTAGAAAAAATTTAATTAAACTTCATGACCTGAAGAATATCCAATGCAATTAAATGTCTGACTGGGTTATCAAAAAAGGTTTAAAACAGGTTTTTTATCTTTACGTAACCCACAAAATATTATTTCTGCAAAGCTTCCAGAAAACAATCACACACTCACGGATAGCAACTGCATTTGGATTACGGAACGTATTTGGAATAGAATCCTAAGTAAGGACTGATGCCTTAAACATGGATCACCCACTGTAGACTGTACTCTAGGAATAGTGCTGCTGTTAGAGTCTGCTTCCTTTGATTGTTTTAATAACTGTTTCCTTGCAGGTGGAGCATCCTCACATATGAAGTTCCCATGAAACAGTCCTCTCCATCCATTAAAGAGGAGAACTATGATTCGCCTCTTCAGGTAGAAACACAGAGTCAGAAAGTCAGCAGAAACACCATAATCTCCAAAGGTGCTGGGTAATACTGCAGTAAAGGCAGTGGTCTCAGGAGGTCATATAATTAGTGAAAAAGAGTGTGTCAAATACACCTGCTGATGGCTCAGTAACCAATGTTTCTCTAAGTATCACAGAACAGTCATTGTTTTAGCGTTTGGTTTTAAAAGTAATGCTGCTCAAAATCTAGTTGCCATGAGAGGATATGTGACTTTCAATAAATTTATATCAGAATCAGAACTGAATATACTAGATATCAGTGTTAAATCTGATATCTCTTAATAAACTAGTAAATGCTGTTGTAGGATTTGAAGGGTGACAATACTGTGACTGAAGGGTGACTATAAGTCAACCGTTGGTAACAATAAGGAAAAATAATTATTTAAATTATACTCAGTGCATACTCAGACACTGACAGGACCACTGTGCACACTTAGACACTGACAGGACTGGTGAGCACACTGAGACCGTGACAGGACTGCTGTGCACACCCAGATACGGGGCCGCTGTGCACACTCAAGCACTGACAGGACTGTTGTGTGTCTGTATTTGAATGCTGCACATAAACTGCTGGAGTTCAGAGAGAATTACATGCAAACTGTTTCTGACTCAGGCGCAGATGACTCACTATGCTGACTCTGTGGCTACCCACCTGACAAAGATCCTGGACTCAGACAAACACTCTGACGTCATTTCCTCAGCAAAGTAAGTCTTTTAAATTCCCTCTTTCTGCAGATCAGGGATCGTGAGATGTGCATTGAGTGCCATTTATCATGTGTACACATATCAACTGTTTAGTTAAATTTTACGTGTATGAACAAATCAACAATAAAATGTTTGCAACTCAGGCACTCAAATCTCAGGCTTTTAGCCTGTCCCATTGAATGGGTCAAGCAATTCATTATTTCTTGCATAGATGACAATTCATTCCATTACATAATTAATAGCCAATTGTTCCTAAATGTTATACTGGGTCACATGAAGTGGCAATTGACTGCTGGTGGGTTATAAGTACATTATTTAGAACTTACTTTTTCAAAAGATTTTTCTTTTGACTGATTTTTTTGACTGATGCATTTTAAAGAATCGCTTGTGAACTGTTTGATTGTTTTCTTTGGCATATCAATTAGAAAGAGCAGCACATTCACTTTGTGTGTGCTGGGTGTCGTTCTTCAGGTTCTTGTGTGGCACAGTGAACGACTTTGTGTCCGAAGTGGGTAAGGCATATGAAAAAGCCACAGAGAACAAGGGAGAGGCCGATGCGATGGCAAAAAAGGTGAGAAACAGCAGCAGCTGTGAAAAAACCATCAACTTGAAATAACTAAGCGTATTGAAATATCCACCTTGTGGAAGAGCTAAAGCACAAGACAATGGAACTGTGGATAACAGAGCAATACTACTAGTACATGATTCAAATAAGTTTATGCAGAGGCAAGCTTGGAAATTAGAATCATTTTCTATTGAACATTATTACTGTATTTCTATATAATTGTCTTGGTCTTATCATGGGTGTAGATGGTATTCTCTGTTGGTCTTGTTGCCATCTCCATGAAGATACACATTCAACAAAATTAGTTTAATTCAGTGTATTAAATTTAGTATTGTTAATTTAGTTATGTTTTACATAAAAAAATCATTCTCGAATTACAGGGAAATGCAATTGGGAATTGAGTTTGCAAGGTCAAACCCAGAGAAAATAGATACGGGATGAATGCTCAAATTGGAGCATATTTGCCAGGACCAGCATTCTTCTGAATTCATGCCAATGACCTAGATTCAGCTAAAATGTGTACACTAGTCAAGTTTACAGATGATACACAACTAGAAGGATAAAAAAACTATAGAAGCAGCAAATGAAATTCTAAAAGACTTAGAAACTGTGCCGTCATTTGGAAGATAATTTTTGATGTTGACAAGCACAGGTTTTTGCATGCAGGTAGTAAAAATATGAACTGTAAAACCCATAATTACAGAGATGGAAGAGGCTGTTTATTAAAAAAGAATAAGGTGTTTATATTTATACATTGTTTACATCTTTTAGACATTGTGCAGAAGCAATAAAAAGACAAACAAAAAGGCGAGGACTATATAAGATGTGTAGTTAGATGTGTAGAATTGAAATCAAGAGATGTTATGTTAAAATTATACAGTTATATAATCAATTTTTATTACTATATTGTAGAAAATACATAGCTGAACTGGAATCAGTCCAGAAGAGAACAAACATACATTAAGAATGTCCTCCACTGACAGACTGACAGAACTGAACCTTTGTATTGCTGAACAGAAAAGGCTTTAAAGGGGACTTGATAAAACTGAAAAATACTAATAAAATTATTCAAAACTATCCAAGCATTGACAAAGTCAACCAAGAATACTTCCTCAGAATGAACAGTGAAAAATGAACCGAAGAACACAAGTAAAATCTATATGGAATACATTTAAAACTGAGAACAGGAAGTACTTTTTTACCCAAAGGATTGTGGGAGTATGGAACAAACGACTCAACTATATTGTTAAAGCTGATACTCAGGCTTCCTTCAGGAATGCCTGGATCAGCTAGATTATTGGATCAGTTAGCTTGTGTCTATCAAACCAGCTGAAAAAGCCAAAAGACTTATTCTGATTTGTAACATGTCTTATGTTAATAGTATTTTGAAAAAAGCTACCTCTTGACAGATTACAACACTGAGGAGAATTCCTTTAAGATTTGTTCACCATAAATGACATACAAAAAGTAGAGGTTAATTCCACCCTGAACTGTAAAAGAAACATTGTTAATAAATTGCAAAGTGTTTTGGCTGTGGATCTTTTCTCATGTGTGACAATACTTTCTAGTTGAAGCCTTGTTCATTACTGTGCATCTCACTACTTCTTTTTAATTGAGTTCAATTAAACTCTACTTGTTCCTTTCTAGTTCAGCACTCTAAATCTAACAAACCCATACCAGGATAAAAGGTCTTCTGAGTGAACAGTTCAGTACAAAAAATTGACTAATTAATCGGTAAAAATATTGGGATAGAAGATTTTTATCAATTCTCCACTCAGAGTCAGAATAAATGTGTTTACTGTTTCCCCTGCAGTGTGCGCTGTTGAATGAGAAGCTGGATTCACTGGTAAAAGCGCTGAGTGAGGAGTCCGAGGCAGAGATAGTGCCCGCTGGATCCCTCCTGCCCCTCCCACAGGTCCTGCCAGGAGAAAGTGGTAACACAGAAGAGCCCATTCCTAGGGCTTTCAAGTCCAAGGACCAGCTGATGTTGAGAGCCAACAGCCTGAAGAAAGCACTCCGGCAGATCATTGAACAAGCAGAAAAGGGTATATTCTATTTTCCATTAATATATATAAGCATTCACTTACAAACACTTGCACAGCATTCAGAGAAACATTATAATAACCTTATCACCTAAGGATCTGTGCCTGTGGCTGGAAGGTTGCCAGTTCAAATCCTGTGGCCGCAGAAGAATCCTACTCCGTTGGGCTCCTTAGCAAGGCCCTTAACCCCAACTGCTCCAGGGGCTCTGTACAATGGCTGACCCTGCGCTCTGACCCCAAGCTTCTATCCTTGTCTGTGTGTCTGTGTGTCTCATGGAGAGCAAGCAAGAAAAAGACCAATTCCTAATGCAAGAAATTGTATATGGCTAATAAAGTGATCTTATCTTATATGGTTGAAATTACTCACCAATGAAGGGGTTTCAAGTAGGCTATAGCTCACAGTTCAGAACATAAGTAGGTTATAGTTAATATATACCTAGTGGGTTTTATATATATATACTTAGTGGTTGCATGGGCAAGAGCAACCAATGTTGAGTGAAATAGCATCCTTGATTAACAGTGCCTCCTAGCTGCTTTTGGCTCCATAGTTACTGTCTTAGCACAACCTGTCCTGTTGTAAAAATCTCTAAAAGAATAAGCCGACACAAGGAAATTGGCTTCATGTGTTGATCTTTTCATAAGCAAAATAAAATAATAAGGTTAAGCTTTGGTAATGAGCCAGACATGCTCAGGTAATAGCAGTTGGCAGGTATTGCCTACTGTAGGTGTGCAGTAGAGTACAGCTGCCTGGGGACTCAGAAGTCACTTAATGATGAGGTGATCCGAGACAAGAGTTGAGCTTGTCCTCAGTTGATTGAATACACAACAACAAATATCTGTGTGTGTTTTTTTTTTTCTTGAAAGGGCAGTTTCTGCTTAATTTCTAAGAGATACCATTAAACTGAAATAAATAAAAGTAAATAAACTGTTGTACCATCCTGGCTGTTTCATCTCTGAAGTGGTTCTTACTGCTACAGTATTTATGAAGACAATTAGTGTCCCTGAGAGGGTGAAGAAGCTATTTCTCATTCTCGTCCTGGAGAGCCCTCCTGGCAAGAATACAGTGTGTGCTTTTACAGAATCTCTGTGCTCTTCTCTCTTCTCTTCCTCAGTGGTGGATGAGCAGAACAAGCACACTCAGGTCTACAGGATGTCTTCCTCCTCCTCAATGAAGAGAGAGAATAGCGAGGATCTGAAAGAGACTGATATGCAGCGTAAGGATAGCTTGTACTTCACTTCATTTACTAATTTCAAGTGGCTTCATATATGCATACAGTAAAAGTTTACATTGCTCATGCCAACATTATTTCTATCCTAATTCTTAAATACAGCATTGCTTCAAACAGAAAACTCTGTCATATCCTAACAATCTGTCTTCAACCCAAGTCAAAGAACAGCCTCACATACTGTCTCTACCTGCTCCAGCAAAGATATTATCTACAGTATACTTAGTGTGCAATGGGGTAGTATGTATGCTATAGGTACTCCAAAAACTATCTTCATGTTGTTGAGTGGAAGCATGGCGGTTTCCAGTCTGGAAGTGATGTTAGGACCTTGTAGCCTGGTCCTTGCAGATCTCAGAAAATAAGCAAGGCTGGACATGGCCATTTGCTGGGATAGGAGACCATCTCAAGAAACCCAGGCAGCTGCTGTAAGTGATGTTCATAAATCAGCAGGTTGCGTCCCTCCCCGTAGCTAATTGTATCCAATCCAATAGTATGATGACCAAGATCACTGTGGTCTAGGAGGTAATGTTGTTTGGAATGAAACGTGAAACCAAGGCTGAGCCAACACCACTTGGTCATTAAACATCCTATGGCGCCGTTTGTAAATGTGGAGGTATTAAACCCCACTGTCCTGTCTAAATGCCACTCTGGGAAGTAATATCTGCATTACCCCCTCAACCAAAACTTGCAGTGCTCCAGTATGCTGACTAAGAACATTTAGCTCTTATTTTGGATGAGATATTAAATAGACTCCCTAAGTGGTTGATCATGAAAACTTCAAAGTAGTTTTGGATTGAGCAGGGGTGATAAAACTGTTGTCCCCTCTGAATTCCACTTTGGGTTTGTACAATCTGGGCTACGTCAGCCCTCCTGCTGTTAATGCACTTTGTAATTTACAGTGTAGTGGGGCTGCTGAAGCAGAATGGATGCTGTGGATGCATCTGCAGATGGTGGGTGAAGTGGGGCCCCACCTACAGTATATGTGTAGAATTTATGCAAAGAGCTTTGAGCTTCTTTAGCATGAATAAATGCAATTATCACTTATTTAATGCAATTTTTAAATAATCCAGAACCTGAACCCTGAGAGAGCAAACAAACCAAACTATTCAAAATGTTTAATAGGGAGAAGTCTTCATGGAGTTTCCAGTGAGTGGTTCTGTGTCCATGCACAACTTCAACATTACATCTTTCACTGAGCAAACACTCTATTATTCTGTTCCCACAGGCCGGGGAACGGTGTCTTCGACCACGTCTTCCATCTTCCTGGAAAAGTCAGAAAGCTTTAGCTGTGATAATTTCACTGAGGACCCAAACTCCATGTAAGAATAGGAGCTGTGAAGCAACAGAATTCTCCCATTCAGACAGACCTGTATTAACCTGAAACAGCTAGACACTGGAGGCAGGTGATCCTCGGGGCTGGAAAAGTTCCAAAGACAGTTCTCACCACAGTGGGAGATTTTATATATTGTTCCTAATTGATTTCAAACCTTCATCAGAACAATGGAATTCTGTTTAGGTCTTTCATTTGTTCACAGGCAGTTATAAATAAACAACAGAACACAGTGGAACACAACACCAAATGGAAATTCTTGCTTTGCTTTCTGCCTGAGAAATAAATACAATTGAAACATTCTAGGTGTGGTAAAAAGTTATGCTTGAAGAGCTTTTGAAAACATCCGGTTACACTATATAGGAAAGCTTTTCTTGTCTAGCCAGCCATATTCAGATACAGTATTTTAACAAAAGTACTGTAGATATCCTGTACATGGCAAAAAGCAACAATTTACATTTTATAACTGAAATTGGAGCTCCTACTTGTAATAGAATTTGATGCATTTGACTTTAACTAAAGCAAAATTACAAACCGACTATATCAAGTCATAATTATGAGGCAGTGAAGAGGCCTGAAATAACTAGTTATGGAGCCCTAAATCAGAAACTCATTTATGCAAGTAAATGCTCTGATTCAATTTGAATAGGTTTCAGAAAATATGTACAGATAGAGTATATTCTGATTCCATTGTATATATACAGTATCAGTCATTTCTGTGTATATTCTATCGATAATTAGAATGCTCTGATGACACTATAGACTAAGAACATCTATCTTGTATGTATCATCTTTGACATCACAGAACAGCACAGTATATTCAGGCATATCTCTGGTTCTAGGCAATGCACTGAAAAATGTGTCATGAACAACTACTTTGGAATTGGGCTGGATGCCAAAATTTCATTGGAATTCAACAACAAAAGGGAGGAGCATCCAAAAAAATGCAGGTAAGTGTATATCTGATGGGCTCCTTGGGCACCATAATGGTGTATATACATGCAGCTGGCCTTGATGTAAATATCACAGTGTTACTACTCTTATACAACATTGGCATGTCATTTGCCAATCGATTTCTGGTTCAGACAGAAACATGGCACATGTGTGGATCGTTTTAAAATTTTAATTCACACCGCCTCAATGTACCAGCAGGCGAACAAGTATGTTAAAATAATGCTGGCTACATCTGGGAACTTACGACAGCTTTTCAACGTCATGTCCTGTCATGCTGGTTGCCTCATTTTGAGAAGCTGTAATTCAGTAAGAGATGTTTCTCAGCAAGCTGCGCTGTGCTCAACTGTTCTTCACAGCAGTCGCACGAAGAACATGATGTGGTACGGAGTGCTGGGAACCAAGGAGCTTCTTCAAAAGACCTACAAGAACCTGGAGCAACGTGTACAGCTGGAGGTATAGTCCTTTACAGGATCAGCCCACCAAGCAGAGAAGCTAAGTGAAATCTACTCAGCAGCTGTCATTCAGAGCTCTCTAAACTCAAGGGCTGATATTGTGTCATCTGCTGCTCAGTCACAAGACAGCTGGCAAACCACCCATAAGTTACTGCACCTCAGGTTCCATTTTTTTTTACTTTATCCTAAGTTGTTATGGAAGTCTTGTCTATGATGAATGAATCTGTGTGAAATTAAAGAAGCATGTAGAGTAACAATAGATGCAGTGCCTTGTAAAAATGTATTTTCCCCTTTCCAATGAATTCCTATTTTGTTGAATTACAAATTACATACTGTATACATTTTTGTAGTTTGATATTTGTAATCAAAACTTGATGTTCCGGTTGAACACTTTTTATGGGCATTAGAAGTTGTTGGTGACCAGTTTCCTCTAGTCAAGAGACTAAACGTTTTGCTCAATTAACCAACAAGCTAAAATTTATCAGAAGCAAATACTTTAAAAAATAAGTCTAATTTAATTCTCAAAAAACAGCTGACAAGGAAATATAATTTTTCTTTTTTGTTTCATGTTCATACTTATAAATCAACATATTTTAGTTTTTTTTGCTTTTGCTGGAATTTTTCTTCTTTTGCCTATTTGAGAGACTTCACAATGTAATTAGAAATGTGTATACAAATGTGTATATCTTATTAATTCAACAAAATGAGACATCATCGGAAAGGGGGACAATACTTTTACAAGGTGCTGTACGCAAAGTTTCCTCTCAGTTCTAGGAATCTATTTACAGAAAAGCCCAGCAGGAGACTTAGTACTGAGCCATTTTATTTTCTGTAAAATGCCAAAGGAAATACAACAAATTTCTTAAAAAACAACCCGAAGGTGCTTGAAAGCCCCCTAAATTGCAGTTAAAGGATTCTGTAATAGATTTTAATCCTTTCAAGGGACAAATTATCACCACTTCAGAGAAAAAAGCGGCATTTCTGTCTTGATACAGCGCTGAGAAGTCTGCTTCCTGTGGTTTTATGTACTGTGTGTGCTGAGGTTGCCATGGTGCCCAGAACTGTGGTTCTGAATGGCTTACACTGAAATGGCCACTTTATTATTCACTTGTCCTGATATTCCTGCTGTTCTTTATAAAAAAATAAATTGTACATCAAAAAATAATTTTGTTATTCTTATTTCATAAAAAAAACTATCAAGTAAAATGTGATGTGGGGTTTATTGAGCTCTGGATATTGTAGAGTCTGAGATACTGAGACTTATGTGTATTCAGTGAAGACATTGCTTTACAGAGACATTTCTGGCTTTTAAGAACTCCGACTCTGAATTAGTCAGATTGTCAACCCCCAATACCACATGTTTACCGCAGGATATTAATTGCATCAGGCCCCGGTGAAATTCAGTGCCAAGCTCCTAAACACGGGGGAGTTTGTCTCTGCTTTATTTTGAACTTTGTGTCGTGTTAGATTGTGCCTTCATTAGTGTGTGTGCCATATCTGCTGCAGAATATATTGCAAACTCTTGTTGTGTTTATGCAGGAATGACATGGCTCTGTGTATACTGTATTAATGTAGCAGCTATAATAGCTTTGTAAGAGCTTTGTAATAGCTTTGCAGCCTACACATGCTGACACAGCTACCTGCATGTAGTTATGACACACTTAATGTTTCGGGATGCAATGCTTAGAATGTCAGATTTTAAATAATATTTTTATATAGTATGTGCTATTCTGTCCCTTGATTGTAAGTAACTTGTTTTGTCTTTGATATAGAAATGCACTTTATCAAAAAGGATTTAGTATTAATTTTGCCTGGCACTCTGCCATGTGTGTTTTCACAGTGCGATGGAGTCCCTATGTCATTGCCCAGTCTTCAGGGTTTGGCTGTTCTCAACATCCCAAGTTACGCTGGGGGAATCAACTTCTGGGGGGGAACCAAAGAGGACAATGTAAGTAACCTCTAATTTTTCTGTTTCACTTTTAAAAGCTTGGTGGGCCTCATTGATTCTATTGTCCTACACGATGTTGCCTATAGCGTTTCATGCTTTTTCTAATACTTGTCTCTGTTTGCATGACTTTCTAGTGGATGATCAGCTGAACATTTCTCATTAAACACATCTCTTCTGAAATCGACCAGAATCTAATCGAACTTGAACTTGAACTTTATTGCCATATGTAACCGGTACATGTACTGGTTCAATGGAATTCTTACTTACTGAAAGTCTCTCGATTGTTTAAAAAAAAATCCTCTGCCTTTCTGAAGATTCAGGGTGATAGCCTTTGGCTTTTCTCTTCCAGAGTATTTTAAAAATAAATCTGAAATTCTTGCAGGCGATATTTACTGTAAGGATGACATTCAGGCAAACAAATGCAAGATGGGTGTTAAAATTAATTGTATCCACTGGCAACTTAATTGTGTCGCACATGGTTAATAGGTTTGTATGTCTACTGTGAGATTTAAAAAAACAACAGATCATACCTATAACTTCACTATAAATGAATTCTGAATGTTTTTGAAACCTTCCCTTGTTGCAAATTTGTGATTTGTGTTTAGCAAAGAGTTTAACTAAGTTGCAATTAAATTGATTTGACTTTGTGAACTTGGCCTGTTATAGTTAAAAACAACAGTATTGAATTATCTGAAGTGTTTCATGATTTGTAAATAATACTTGAGAAGTCTAATTGTACCATAACCAGAATAAATTACTTCCTGTTCTAGTCTCATACACCAGGACGTTATCCTATGTAATGGAGGCTGCAGAGTTACTGTATAATGGACTGATTGATGTCTGCTGAAGAGTGGTTTGCATGATAGTGGTCTCTGCAATAAAATCAATAGTCTTGCTATATTTATACCAATACATTCAATATTGCAGGCCTCCACTGGTTCAGAAACACTTATGTTTGAATGGAAATCCCTATGTGTCTTTCTTGGGGTGTTGTATACAGTACCGGTAAAACCCACTTTGATTTAATTGTAGATTATTATTAAAACTCTATGCTACACAAATCACCTTGCATTATTTTAAATTTCTTGCTGGCTGCATTTCGCTACAAGAAAACTAATTTCTGCTACTCTTAGAAATCATGATGATTTTAAAGGGCACAGATGGGTTTCAAGGATCAGTTAGCCACTAATAACTGGATAATTAGCCTGCATGCTGTCAAATGGCATGCTGTTGTCAGTTGTAACCATTCTTCTGAAAGTGAAATAATTGTCTTCAGGAAAGTCCAATTCTGTGTTCCTTAATATTTCATACAATGTTCAAATTCACAATTTCCAATTTGCTTCGAATCTCATTTCCATGTTTAATATTGACTCCTTGACCAGACAGAATATCAGCAAGCTAGACATTAAAGCTAAACAACACTAAATATTTCGTCTGCTACAGATGCAATGCATTTGGGGGCAGAGATGAATGAGCTGTTTGTTTGCTTACTCTTAAGTTTAATTAAATAAACCTTTCAGTGGAGGAGCTTGGCAGTGGTCTTGGCAGCCTTGTCACTGTTAACACATGCTCATTATTTCAGAACTTTGGGGCCCCATCCTTTGATGACAAGAAGCTGGAAGTAGTGGCAGTGTTTGGGAGCATGCAGATGGCCATGTCCCGAGTAATAAATCTGCAACATCATCGCATAGCACAGGTGAGAGCTCAGATCGTAGCAGCTGCCACATATCACACTGGCACAAGAAACTTCAGTCCAGGTGTGTTCTAGATGTATTGGGACTTGTCCTTCTTCCAGAGCTAGTGAGTCAAGTCAAGCCTCTGTACAGTGCAGTATTGCCCCTTACTGTAATAGAAACATTAAAAGCAGCACTACACAGTTACCATTTCTGTTACTTTTGCTGATTTTCAGTGATTGACTCCTAGAATGGCTAATGATTCCAGTTCTGGAACCACGGTAATTTCCTGTTACATAGAGTCCTATAAAATACTGACAGTGCAATTGAAGCTATTGAAAAATGTGATGAGACAGAGTGTTAAAAGTGCAGCGAATTAGTTAGTCTTATCACTTACTTCACTTATTGTGCCCCTTCCCCTGATAAAATAGCTGATTCCATTTTATTCTCAAGAATGAAGACAACAGTGGGCCAGTGTAGTAAGTAGTGTCTCTTGTATGGACCACCTTTATGTAAGTCCTAAAAATAGTGGTTGAGTTGTAAAAAAAAAAATTGATCTAATTGATAAGGATAATGGAAATGAAAACAAGAGACCCTTAAAACTGGGGATGCCCACCTGGTTTCAGCATTATGCGAAGAAAGGAAAGTGTGTTCGGCCTGCCCGTGTGTGAACAAGTGGGGCTTCAGCTTTTTGTCAACCTGTTGACTCCTGTGTTTTCTGACAGTGCCGAGCAGTGAAGATAACCATCCTGGGAGACGAAGGGGTTCCTGTGCAAGTGGATGGCGAAGCCTGGATTCAGCCCCCAGGAATTGTCAAGATCATCCACAAGAACCGTGCCCAGATGCTCACAAGAGACAGGGTAGGATCAGGTTCCACAAGGGCCTGGAGGAGCAAACAGCTAAAGAGCCCAGCTGAAGTCAAATAAATGGCACCTAGAAGATGCCGCTGAAGAGTTACTTCCCAATGTGCAGTTCAGAAAACAGTTACTCTACCTGTGTGAAGCAGAAAGCAGGGATGACAAAGACACTGCATGTATAGAGCTGAGCTGTTGTGCTTCTAGATCGTTATGCTGCTATGAAGATATTTGACAAATGCTTTCTCTCATCCCCGTTTTCTCATACTACATGAATTCTTTTTTCATTTGTTCTCAAATTGACACAGGCCTTTGAGAGCACCCTGAAGTCATGGGAGGACAAGAGGAAGTGTGACGGTTACCGACCGTCAAGGCCAAGACTCAACTCCCAGCAGTCCATGGAGTACCTGACAGAGGAGGAGTATGTGCTGGTGCAGCAGCTGGGCCAGGAGGCAGACACCCTGATCAACAGGTCAGACAACCCCTCCACCTAGGCTGTTGCCCAGCACCTCTGCCCCAGGATAGTCCCTATATCTACATATCTCTCCACTGCCCCTCTGATCAATTAGTCAGACAGCCCCTATATCTACATATCTCTCCACTGCCACTCTGCCCATGTGGTCAGACAGCCCTTATGCCTACAGATTCCTCCACAGCAGTCAGATAGCCTTTCCATGTACTGACGCCAATGATGTCAGTCACAGCATCGCCAGGGCAATGTGAATCAAGAGGCTTTTCCTGGGTCTCATATCATGTCTCTAGTGGTTCTCAAACTGTGGTATGCGTACCGGCAGTGGTACGTGGCGTGCCGCCAGGTGGTACGCAAAATGACCCTGGAACTGTGTTGTGTGTGCTGAAAAAATCGGAACGGGTTTTCATATTTTGTATTTTTATACGTGTCGAATACGCAGCTTACGTACTACGATACAGTGCGCGCTTATACTTCAGTGGACACAAGAGATACTCTGTAATTCTATACCACTCTATAGGAATGCGTGCTACGGACGCAAGTGACCAATTGTATTTAAAAAAAGCTACTGTATCTCCAGCAAATAGGGAGAAAGGAGAATGTGCATGATTTTGGAACAATCCCAACGTTGTAAACACAGGAATGCATAGAAATGCGTGCTACGAACGCTGGTAATCTTGTGAGCACAGGAAAGCGTGAAAAATAACAGAAAAATATTTAAGAACTGTTCTAAGTTAATTTGAGAAAAATACACTGAGCGTCTCTGTGTTTCTCTTCCATGCGCATGAAATAAATACTTAAAATAAACACTGAAATAAAAACAGAAACGTGGCAAAATGAAAGCTTGCGGATTGCTAAAGCAGGTAAGCCCCACACTATTATGTGTGGAGAAAAAGCTGCTGAACAGCTCGACCTGCTGCCCCCCCATGAAAGACACAGTCATTCATAGAATTATTGAAATGAAGGATTATATCAAAAGTACGGTGACAGAGCGCGTTAAGATGAGCAGATGTTTTTCACTGCAATTAGTAGTCGATTTGGCCAATTTGCTCGTTTACGTTAGATACGAGTTTGAGGGTACGTCCCGTGAGGACTTTGTTCTGTAAGCCGCTACCAACAGGAACTACAGGAGAGCACGTATTTCAGCTTCTGAATGAATTTATCGAAGTGAATGGCATTGACTGGATAAAATGTGTCGGAGTTTGTACAGACGGTGCTAGAGCAATGAACAAGCCGACACAGCGGTGTAGTTGCACGAATTAGAGAGGTTGCTCCAGAAATTAATGGTTTCATTGCAACATCCACCGCGAGACCTTTGCCGTCAAGACAATGCCTGACGATTTAAAATCTGTTAAGACTGTTGTGAATTGTATGAAGGCTCGAAAAATTAATTCACATCTGCTTTGCTCGACTAAACAGGCTCACCCCTCTCACTGAAATGGTGCTTTTTTATTTTTATTTGTTGTTGTTTTTTTTCCTATAAACACTTTAAGAAGCCACCTTTAAAGGCGCTATATTAAATAAAGTTTATTATTATAATATTTATTATATGTATGTGTGAGTGTGTGTGCACGTGCGCTCATGTTGGTCAATGAGAATTGCTGGGGTTCCTATGAGATGATGAGTTGTAGGTGGTACTTGGATGCTTTGGTTGGATTAGGGGTGGTACTTGGTCCAAAAAGTTTGAGAACCACTGCTCTATGGGATTGCTTTCCCTTTTGGACAAACAAGCAGAAAATCCAGAATCTGTGTATTTGCTCAAAGCCAAGAGTGGATGATGCATACACACTGCAACATTTGAGCATCAAATAGGGAGATCGAAGGAAATGATTGCATCACAACCAAAACACTCAGGAGCAAAGCAAATCCTAATGCTGTTTTTAATTTCCTAAATTGAAATAAAAAATTGAAATAAACATTTTAGGATGATTTTCTGAAGATAACTTCCTAAATTTACACTCCCCAACCTTGTTTCAGGGGATTTTTATGGTTTTGCTCTCTGACCTCAATTAAATCCTCCACTCTCCTGCCAGTTGCAAACGATAAGCTCTTCACTTAATGGCAGCTCTCTGTTGAGAGCAAAAAGGCTTCTGCCACAGTTTTTGCTTTCAGGCACCTGAAAGGTAAGCAGATTGAAAAAAACGGGAGAGTGTGTACAGTATGAACTTCAAGAATTGCTTATAGGTTTTACTGGATATTTTTGCAACGGCTGTTTAATAGAAAAGCTCGGGAATAAGCGAGAGTGTTTTTGCTTTGTCTGTAGAATCCGGGAAGCTGCAAAGACACACAAAATCGTTGAGCAGGAGCTGGCACATGCTGTGAACGCCAGTGCTCTCATTCTGAGCGAGGCTTTCTCCAACAAATCCAGCTTCCCCGAGGTAAGCTACCAGCTTAAGCTCCATTGAAAATAAGCAAATTGGCATCCGGTGAGCCCATCCAGCTAACCCAAGAATTAGCATTGTGTATCCCAGTGCTAGCGTGCTGACCATAACTAACATAAACCCAGAAAATCTACAATTATAATTGGGCCAGCTGCTCAACAGCTTCAGCCCACTGCCTCCTGATCTTCTGGGATGCTGTATCTAGAGTCCAGTTAATAGAATTCTGAAGTAGGCTTATGAAAACAAGCCCACCTTGTCTTGTTTAGCTTGACTTGCAAGGCTTTAGTTCTGTCCTCCTTAATCCTAAGTCACAAAGTCGCACAACAGTAAAGGTACAAAACAGAAATAGATTTGCTTAAGTCATAAATAAGTCTTAATTATAATCATTGTGAACAGTCCCTACAGTCCTTATTGTTGCTATTGAGTTGCTTCAGTACATGTGGGTTATACTGCTCTGGTCTGCTTCAGTCCTAGGCAATGTTGTAGAAGCATCATTGAAATAACATTGGCTCTGCCACACCTTTCTCATCCAAGAACAGACTGTATAACCTTGTGTGCTGGACTGCTGATGAAATGCTATTATGAAGCCAAATTCTGTAACAGAGGTGTGGAGGGACTTTATCTGCACATGTCTACATTTAGCTGAGGACAGAGGATACATAGAGCAGGAAAAATTTCCTGAGACCTACTCACTCAATACTATAAAGTGGCATTGCAATAGAAGTTCCTCTTCGTCTTAACATGTCTTATGCAGTACTGTTTTTATTGTTTCATCAGAGAGCAACTGGATACTTCCAGCCTGTATAAATTGCAACAATATATTTCTTTACATAAGCACCTATGAAAAAACAGCTAAGATAGATGAATATCATCCCCTCCCTTTTCAATTATTCGTATCCTTGTTACAAACTTGCAGTAGCTGTAATTTTGAAGAAGAGCTAGATAAAAAAAAAACATTGTAATTAACTTACTGCTCTCTCCATCACCAAAACTCTTATTCACCGATGTATCAATTAGAATACATATTGCTGGTTAAAATGCTATAATTAAACGCCAATAGCTTTTCTTTATCGAAACCGCATTCAACCTTGCAAGAGGTAGCTAAGGCTTCAAGTGAATAAACTAATTTAAAAAAATGGCATCTGTATACACTAGGATAAATGAATGTTATTCAGAGATAGCGTTGTCAAACAAAATTATTCTTTTTTACTGAAATTACTGAACAACATTGTTGGCTTTTACCCAAAGCAAATTTGTACCTAATTGTACAGCTGGGTATTTTGCTAGAATAATTTGGGTGAAATAGCTTGCTTAAGGGTATACCAGTAGTATCTCGAGATTTGAACTCACAAGCTTCCAGCTCCAAGCCAAGAATCCTGACCTGATCAAAATCAAAATATTGATTCTAATATTATAGTTACATTTAGACAACTTGAAACTTTTTTTTTCCTGCACTAATTTTTAAAGATTTTGTTCTTTAAACACAGTCAGAACAGAAGTTGGCTTCAAGCAAATAAATACAATATTTCAGTTTGTTCTCTGTTCTGATTCAATGTAAATGAAAATAAAGACTAGCTTACTCTGCACCTGCGGTGTGTGGAGGGGGCAAACATCAAATCTGACGATTAAAAGCCAGCAAAGAAACATCACTGCCAGGGATCCACTTTTGATATCTATACATCTTTTTGTGTTCCTGCAGTTCATCAGCCGAAACACTGCGGTTGATATTGTAAACAGTGTCAAAGCGCTACAGCTGGAAACTAAAATGTTGCTGGATGGAAAGTTACTGGTAAGATCATACTGTACCTGTCCCTTCTTCCGGGCTACTTCAGTACTACAGTATATGACTGGTGTTGAGTCCCCTGTCTTGTTGCCTGTGGCGTTAAAATTCTGTGTCTTTGACCTGGGTCAGACCAGGCCCATTGCAAACTTAAACCATGTGTGTGGACAGAACTCATCTAAGGTTTCAGTGCTTACTGCCATAATTGATGAGTTCTGTGTCTCTTTGTAGATGTATCACCTCATATCTTTCATAATAATATCTGTATTCTGTCATAGTAAAATTATTTGTAAAAAATCAATAGGAAGCTAGTTAGGCAAGTCGTGTATCCATTGTCATGTTTTGCACCTCGTGCTCTTCCAGTTCACTAATCCATCATTTTCCTTTGTTTTGTAGTCCATAACTACATTTCGTCATTTCAGACTCAGGTTACTTAATACTGAATTCTTGGGTCTGAATGAAAACTACAAGTGGGAGTTGAAATTTCTCCAGTTTTCAGACGCTTTCTTAATGATTATGTAATCATATGATGAATTACAGCTTTTTGCATGGTAAATACACAAGGTTATCCACAACATAATAATTATTATTCCTCATACATAGTCTGTAATCATTTCTTGTATTTGTTTAGTACTTTTAGTCACAAAGGACTCCATAGCACTATCTATTGCACAGTGTGCAATAGAAAGAGAAGCAATTTATTATATGGTCTGATTACATAATATGGATTTAGTTTGGGTTTTTTTTAATAATGGCGGTGTCCTGACTTAATTTTTTAGAACCTTCTGACCAGGATTTGTTGTTACAAGCTAACACTAATTGCTCTTTTCAATATCTTAGCTTCATTTACAGTACATTTCACATCTGCCACACACCAAAATGGTTAATACCATTAACCAGCATGAATAATGCTGTAAATATTCTTACCAATAGTGTTTCTGCTTGGACTTGAATAAGTAAAGAAGAAAGTGTGTGTACTCTATGTGTGGGGGGCGGGACGGGTTTCAGGGCTGATCGCCTCTCGGCTTTTGGGAGCCCACATGTCCTGTAACACGTTCATCTCAACCTCGCAGCAGATGGAGTCCCCGCAGGAGGAGGAGCTGCACTCTGCCCTGAACAGTATGAGCAGCGAGCTTCAGAAACTGGGAGACGTGCACTGGATCGCACACATCGTCAACTGCACCGATGAGGTCCGTTTGCCAGAGCACCCTAAAACTCTCTCTTCCGGCCCCCTGAGAATCAGACTCTCTAACACTCATATCATTACATCTTGTGACATAAACTGTTTCAAGGACTGAACCTGGGTGACATCAGTTGCACCCCCAAAACTATTTCACTTCTGTCACCTTTCCATTGCACAAAATGGAGAACGACATGGCATGCTATAAAAATAAACTGTAAAGCTCCAGTCCAATTTAGAATATACATATACATTTCAACCAATTTGAAGGCTTCATAAGTCATTTGGGATTGCTTTTGCTATCGATGTGGGTTCCCAATCCAGGTGCTGGGGACACACACAGCTTCTGGTTTTCTTTGCAGCTGAGCTCTTTACTTCAATGAACAGGTTGCTTGGTTGGAGCATTTTGTAAGTTGTTTTTTTTCCTTCGCAGTTGAAATTAAGCCTATGAACAGGTCTGTTAGAGGTTCAATTATTTAACTGAGGGATCAGGTGCAACAAAAACCAGCAGATGTGGTTGGTCTTTAGGACCAGGATTGGAGATCCCTCTTGTAGATTCACGTTTTCTTGCCAAACAAAGTACAAAATGAACAACAGTAATTAAAATCACACTAATAATTCCATCTCTGATAGTAATTAAATGGTCTGTCACTAAATGTAACGTCTCTGGTGTGTCTGCTCAATAATCCAAGGCAACTGTATTTTTTCTATCATTAATACAAAATTAGTGAAATATTTCATTGCAAAGATGGCAATCTGAACCATTGAACAATATTACTCTTTAGAGGTGAATGACTTTTTTACAAGTATTAGTCAGTGTATTTATGCACCATCAAAGAATTTGACAATTCTTTAGACTGCTTTCCCAAGCTGCACAGGATTTCCCAGCATTCTAGCATGATTCATTACCATTTAATGTTTAAGTATCTGGACTGAGTAAGGTGTAATTAAAATGCAATATGAAGTCATGTGACAAAAATATGTATACATGACTATTCATCGACATATTACTTTTTTTCCTTTTGCAATACACATAATTGTAAAGGTTTGATGAGGAGAGAACCATAATGCTCCATACTTCCATATGAGCTCTGGAGAACCGCAATTACTGAAGTAGACTTTAATGTGGCTAAAACAGCTTGTAATTTACTATGACATGAAATCTGTACAAATACAACATATCGTAAAGTAAAATTAGGAAAAAGCTACGAGCACCCAGGTGAAATCAGCAGAGGATGGCAAAATTATCATCTAAAGATTGAACCACTCATCTTGTCGTGTTGGCCCTTATCCCTATCTCATTGTTTGTTTCAGGAGACCACCAGGAACAACAGCAAGAGCAGCATCAAGCTGAAAATCATACCCAAGGCAAAGAAGGACAGAGAAAAACTCCACAAACAAAAATCAAACAGCTCTCTGCCTGGTAAGAGCATGACATGGGATTCTGTGGTCTTGTTTTATTTGATTTTGTGTTTAACGCCAAGATTAATCCAACAACTGAAGACATACAGTATTTACTCAATGTTTGTCTTTTTGTAAATTCAGATTTTTTTAATTTGGCAGTTACCTCCATCAAAATTGCCAGCTCCCTATTAATTTTGTCTCATTCAATTTAGCAAGCTTATACCTTCTGGTTACCTGAATTATTTAAGATAAAGATGAGAATTCACAAGCTTTCGTTGTGTTCCTTGGTTACAGTAGAAGGCACTAAACAATAGGGATTGAACCTCAATGTGTATTTTTCTTCATATTCTACAACCTAACACTAATTGCTCTTTTCAATGTCTTAGCTTCATTTACAGTACATTTCACACCTGCCACACACCAAAACGGTTAATACTGCTGAAAACATTATTACCAATAGTGTTTCTGTTTGGACTTGAATAAGTAAAGACTAAAGTGTGTGTACTGTATGTGTGGGGGTGGGACGGGTTTCAGTGCTGATCACCTCTCGGCTTTTGGGAGCCCACATTTTTTGCGAGAAAAATACCCAGATGCGATGACCAGATGACCAGATCTTTTTAATGACAAATCATATTTGATTTGTGGGCTGTTTTTTCAGTTGTGTGACAGAGAAAGCTAGAGAAAACATGTCAGCTGAAGCCACTGAAAATGACAAAGACAAAAATGAAGGAAGGCTAAGTTAGTACTATATATATTTTTTGTCCAGTGTGGCATGGGTACCTTCTGATTCCACATGAAAGATTTTTTCCAGCAGAATTGACATGTCAGCATTAACCTGTCAATCTGGAAATGAGCTGAAACAAAGGCAGAGTCTGCCGTGTGTCCCTGTGGGGCGCCTGAGCCCTGTTGTTGTCCAGCTGGTGTGCTTTTGATCCCCCGTCAGTCTCTGCCTCCTCCTGTCGATGTCTGGTGTGTTACTGCATATTGTGCTATGTGCTTTTCTGTTTGTTTTTTTTTTGTTTTGTTTTTCCTGCCTTTCCTTTTGCAAGTGGAGAAGTGGCGCACAGAGGAAGTAGCAGCTTGGCTGGATTCCATTGGGTTAGGGGAATACAAAGACATATTTGTCCGCCATGACATCCAGGGGTCCGAATTGGTTCTCCTCGAGAGACGAGACCTCAAGGTACAAGACAGGGAAACTCGTGTTGTCAGTGTGGAGTGGGGCTGAACAGACACACCTCCTACACTTGAGCTGTGGGTTGCCATGGCATCCAAGAGAAAAGGAAGCTGTTATTACAATTCCACTGTGGCCAAAATATTACTCCACCTTCTTTAAAACTGAAATATTATTTAAAGACTTGCTGGCTGATAGTAGGTACATTGTCATAGGTATTCATTTTTACTAAAATAGTAAACATATTTTACCTCAAATAAATATTCTAATGTCATGATAAGGTCCTCACAACAAACCCTTTGGAAGTACTAATCAGTGGTTGTTCTGCTTAATTTGCAAAATTTGCCATTCATTTAAGGTTAATTAAAAGTTCACTGTACAATTACGAAGCATGGTTACAAGATCTTACTTCCTTGTTCATTTGAGAGAGTGTGAATTTTTACAAAACCAGAAAAAAAAACTTAAAAGTGTAGTTGGGAACAAACAGGAATTTTCTCATTTTAGAAAAACACAATGAGATAATTTAACACCACGAGAATCTCTCCCTTGTGCTCTGCCCACCACTAGGCAAAATTCTGGCTCAACTGTGTCTGTTTCAACCTCACTCTGTGTCTTATGTCTTTCAGCTGGAGCAAAGAAAGTTTTGAAAATAAACGTCTTCACTTTTATCGATTTGATCTGTTTTGCAGAGCAATTGCTCAAGAATGCTCCTTTGTGCAAGAAAACCATTTTGGAAATCTGAAATCCCCTCATTTGTTGAGCAAAAGATCAATTGTTTGCTCATTGAAGGATTTCATTAGTCTAATATCTCCACAATTGCACCCTGGCTTAATTAATTTAAAACCCAACTGAAATGGGACACATCTCTTACTAAAAATTCTTGTTCTTTAACTCTGTAAGCTGAAGAAACACATTCAACCTCTGCTAATTTAATTGAGGTTTTGGAAGTAGCTTGCAGTGACGTCAGTGAGAGATTAGCTGTTGTTCTACTCAGCACTAACTCTCCTCTCAGGCTCTGTTGACCTTGCAGTGAGAGATGAGCACAGCTCAACAGCTCAGCGTTGCGGAGTCTGCAATGCGTCAAGCTTGAATGGGCAGGATGCTAGGTCAACTCTATTTAATTCTTTTTTAGGTTGCACAGGAGTTGCAGCCATTACTCTGTGTCGCATACTGTTGATGACTCCAAATTAGGTATAAAGAATTGGCACAAAAAAAAAGAAGTTGAAATACTTGGTAAATACCAAGAATTGTAGCCACAGAGCTCTGTGTGGGAGTGTTGTCAGGCATTAATCCTATATTGCAATAGTCCTTAATGAAATGACTACACAGGGCACCACTGTAATTGTCGCTCTTCCTGAGTAAGGGCATAATAACTCTACGTATTGGCAGAGTGATTGTCTGAGCACAATAAATCTCGTTATTATTACACCCTATCACTCCTCCTCTCTACCACCATCTGCCAGTTTTTCCAAGATGATATTAGGGGTTTATCTCTGGCTCAAGACCTCTTGCATCCTGAAAGCGGTTTTCATGATGCTACTCATTACCCTGAATTAAAGCTGTCTCTAAAGCTGTCTGTAGTTATACATTTTGTAATGTTCGTTGCATTGCTTTCATTCCTGTCTTGTTCAATTTGCAACCTTTCTCTGCACTAAAATCCAAGTGAAACATTTGGCAAGTCATTCCTGACTTGTATTTCTGAAAGCCTTTAAGGCACTGAAATGTAATTTCCTCGAACAGTAATTCTGTGTTTTTGCTTATTTGCATGCTGCCAATTCAAGCTTTCTGCTTGTTCCATATTTCTGAAACACGACACCACGCTCTGATTTTTGGACAAATCCTTCTCCAAGATCAAAAAATAAAAATAGAAAAAAGTGGGCCGTTACTAGCATAATACTCTTGCAAGAGATATTCGATAAACAAGTGAGAAATATATCAGCTGTTTATTCATGTTTTAGAATGAACTTTCAGTTTTAAATCCTGAATTGTAACTATGGAAATATTGTATCACTCATCAAATCCACACACCTCAATATAAACAGACCATACAGTACAAGTGGCTGTTGTACAATAAAGACAACGCCAGGGGGCTCATTCATCGGAGACGTTGCTTTCAGATATCCCCCATTCATCTCATCTCATTCACCTTCACTCATTGCACAGTAGATCACCTGTTGCTTTCAATAACAATTTCACAAATATTATATTATTATATAAAAGTTTAAGAACTTCAATAGCAGACTTTTTTTAACATTTCTAAACTATAAGTCCATTGGGAAATAGGAGTGATAAACCAAACTTTATCATGATGATAGAGATGACTTCATTTGAAACTTGATCAAGCAAAGCACTAAACCTCTTAGAGCAGCGCCAACCTTACAACCCAGCACTGAGAGAAGTTAAATTACAATACAAGCCTCCAGTCTCCAGGGTCTTTAAAAGGAAGACAGCCTGTAAAATTGGTATTGTAAAATAACTTTCATTATTTGTGTTTATCCTGTAGGATCTTGGGATAACAAAGGTGGGTCACATGAAGCGAATCCTTCAGGGAATTAAGGAGATTACCACGTCCATCTGACCAGAACAATGCGGCGATCCTGGAGGGATTCACTCCGCTACAAGCTGGTCTTCTTTCCTCTGCGAGGGATGTGTTAAGAACAAAGGGCAGAGCGTCATCATTTATTCTTTCTATCCCAGCACGAGCGCGCGCTGAACCCATTCAAGTGTTGCTGAATGGGAGTGAGACTGGTGGGGGGGGGGAGGTATTTCCGAATCCAGATGTCTCCCCTGCTTGTAGACTTTCTGATGAATGTGCTTTCCTGAGCCCTTGGCTAAGGCCTGACAATGTACAATGGTGTTTTGTTTTAGTTTTTTTATTGGAAGGCCAGCTACGCGTTGAGAATGAGCTGAAAGCGAAAGGCGAGGGACTGATTTTAGCATAGCTGTGAGATTGAAAACACTCCAGACCTGCCAGAAGGATAAATATCTCAAAGAGTATGTGGAACATGTCATTATTGTGTGTGGAAAAGGCCTCTAAGAGAAGCTGGGCCTCTTAGTCTTGTTGTACTGTGACCAGAATCCTGCATGGCTTCTACACCTTCCCCAACCTCTCATGGTGAACGTCACGATTCTGTGCTCTTACCTGTACATCACACTTGTGCTTTTGTTCAATTTCTGTACAGTACATTGGTGCCAAGCCCGTGTGTGTGACAAAGGCACAACAAGGCTGTGTCAACAGAATTGTGTTTTGTGCATTGCAAAGAAATTACTCACCTTGCACTTAAGTCCTGGATGCAAGACAGCCAACAGTATTATCTTCTCTTTTTTTTTTCCCAAAAGGGCCTCTTTGTTTCAGGCAGCATACAGTACAGCTACATTAACAATACATCACTTTTGTGCAGTTCATGTTAATGTGTATACTTCCAGTATAGATACACTGCATGGCCTTGAGCTATCAGAAAAATATGAACCCTTAACAGAAGTGAGCCTTTTGTTCAGCATCTTTCTGTAGCCACATAGGTAGAGCATTTTAAAAGTGTTCCACTTCTCAAATGATTCGCATGTGAACCATTTTCATCACTGAGCTTTTAATCAACAAGACCATGTAGAAACAAGCATTAAACAACTGTATAGTGTTGGAGCAGGTTCTCTTTTAACAAGAACTACATTGCTAAGCTGTGGTTAAAGGGCTCAAGATCCTTCAAGGATCGCCTTTCCTGTATATTAACATGATTCATACTAAAAAAGTGAAGACCTTGTTTTAAGGCTTCACACAGGGTTGCTTGTATCATTTGGATAGTTTATTTCCCTACACACCATCAAAAAATATTTAAGTTAACAAAGGTCAAATAACAAAACACCTCATTTGCCAAACCCCATTGCAGTCTGTTAGTAGGAGGATTAATAGTGTGGAACAAGCTGACATACTACATTAAACCATAAATGTGATCAGTTATAGTACCAACACAGAAGGAAAGCAAAGCCAGCATGATATCCAAGTATGTCTTATTCCGCCTTTGTAAATCAAAATCTTCCCGAGTCAAAAGTTTATCCTGGAACCCAATATTCAATGCATTGAAAACAAATTGGCCTAATGTATAGAATAGATATGATTTTGCTTATTTTGCCATTTTGCTCCAAAGGCTCAGAGTTTCAGTGTCTCTCTCTAAAGTGACACAATTTTGCTGTTCATGACTGTTTACACATCTACAAACTACATTCTTACTGGGGTGTCAATAATTAGAAAGAAAGTATTGCAAAGAATCCTATTAAAAACTGTTGTGATCCCAGCACCAGTCTGCTTAATGCACATCCTGCCAAGTGAGGCTAGATGTTCTGTCCCCTTGAAATCTACTCTTGAAGAGACCACCGTGTCCAGTTTTTTGTTCCAGCTGGGTGTTTCCATCACTGGGGCTAACTGATCCTGGTAATTGCTCGTTTTGATTTTGTTCTGCATTCAGTCCTTATTTCCAACTGAACATTATGCTGTCTCTACTCAACTTGCCAACTAAGAATTTGCTTCCATGTTTCCAACTAAACAGCCCTTAACAGATGAGCCGTTGATGGAGTAGCAATAGCTAGAGGTCATACCACTTACAATATATTAATAGCTAAAAAAATTTTTAAAACTATAATAAAAATCTATCATTTCTATCTTTGATAGCCTATTATGGAGAACTTTGGCTGGATCAGAACCCAGACCTGCCAGGTTCCATGATTACACTAACACTACACCACATTTAAACTCATTTCTGCCAACCTCAACTGACTTCGGGTCTTTCCACTTCTAAAAAAAAAAAAACATACCTAAAAATTTGCAAAGGGTCTATATTTCTATATACAGTAGGCCCTCTGTGAATTTGTGTCTATCTCCAAACAGCAGTGTAGTGTTACAATCAGCTAAGTAACAGATCAGTGGTTCGTGTTTAAAAACCACAGAGCTCTTAAGCATGAGGCTCTTAGGTTGTCACAAACTAATCCAATAAGCAGACAAATGTACTCCGAAAAAAGACAAAAATACAAAAAGCTCACATCCACAGTAACTTTTAATGTATTAGTCATACATATCTCCAGGGATTTATCCTTTAAGATCTAAAGTTCTCTAACAATTCTCAAAAATAGTTTAACAACTTATATTAATATATGTACATACATTCACATTTTTTTTAAGCAAAAACTCACACAATTACAATTTTCCAGATATACAATAACTTTCATCAAACCAAAAAGCTTATATTCACACAATAACCTAACCAATATCTAGCACTGTCTTAAGAGGGCATTGAGCTTCTCTAGGATTGGAAAGCTCTTTTTTGCTGAAGTCAAATGGTTTGTTTGATAAGGTCATTCTCCAGAACTGCACTGCTCAACATCATAATTCCCCTTTTAAGAGTGATGCAATTACTTCACAAATTATTTTCTGACAAGGCTCAAGGTCTTCATCTGGTCTTTGCATCAATGTATTAATTCAGCTTTACCTCAAGATTTGGCTACAACCTTTCTAAACTAATTTAGCTCTATTGTGAGGAGCCTGAATTTCACAAATCAATCAGCACTGAGAGCCAAGAAAGACCATAAAGTAACATTTTCTACTCCTGGAGGGAAAGAGTCTCAAAAGGTGAACTGATTCAATGACAAACCCTTCAATAGAACAAAACTAGGAATGACATGGGGGCTAAAAATACTGAAGTAAACAGGCGTCATCTTTACAAGTCTTTTAAAAGGATAATCCAACACCAGTTTTCCTAGTTTAATTATCAGTGTCTTACCGTCATGAGTTTTAAAATGAACATCAGAAAAGAATCTTACTATCCTGATATTAAAATTAATATGAATTGAGTTAACAATGCCTTTTCTTTACATAATAGTAAAATACAGTACATACAAAATAAAATAGATACAAATATATACATGTTTTGCATATTTTACATTTTTCCCCATTGCTGCAGCAGTTAAGGTCAGCACAAAGCCTCATGCAGTTGCATCATGTCCAGAGTCTTGATCTTCGCTACTTCAAAGAACACCCTACAGGATTCATAAAAGTCAGTTAACTTCATGTCAAGATTCTAACACGGTTCTTGAGTCTCCCCTTCAAACCCCATCAGCTCTGACCAAAATGTTTCTCAGATACAGACACACAAAGAACTAGTAGTATATGCTAAAAAGAGGGTTTCCAAAGAACTAAACAGTAATTAGAAACCTGTTTAGTGATGCCACCTTAGCAAATCTCAAGATCTAATTGAATAGTAGCTTTTATGACAACATAGAATTTATTAAGGTGTTGCCAAAGTTTCATATTATACTGTTGCCAGTAATCTTTTAGTACAGTACCTCTACATTTCTGCTAAAACCTTCTTAATGCTGCTGTTGACAACATGTGTGGGCATTGGTTGGTGTCAACACGAAAGACCAACGCATATAAATTACTGGTGATTTAATCTGCACAAGATGGAAAAACAAATATACACATGAATTATTAACTGTTTTTCATGGTTTACCATCTGGTGACTTTTTATTTGAAACCAAAAAGCAAAATTAAGGTTTATCAGATGACTTGGAGCTCCAGAACTTTTACAGCTCTCAAGAAGTAATTTGACACACTTACATGCCAGCTGTCTTTGACAGTCTTGCCATCTTAAATTGGCAAGTTTAGGCTGTAGGAGTGTGGAAAGAGCTGCCCAGCCATGTGACTGAAGCTGATATGCTGGCTTTCCTCAGGAAACAGAAGCACAAGACACCTGGGTCAATAAAGTACAAACTAGTAAACTGGCTAGAAAGGCTGAATTTTCTCCTCTCATTTGTGACCTTTTGTATGTTCCCACAGATTAAACAGACTTACTTGTGCGAGTATTTGCTTCTGACAGATTTCAGCTTGTCATCTGTTGGGTAGGTGAGTAAGAAGTTTAGTCTCTTAACCAGGGGAACCAGGTCAGCCAGTGTGTAGCCCGTGTGATACTGCAGGATTGGCGTCTGAAATGAGAACCACAGTCAGGTTGCACCCCAGTCTCCAAAATGAGTCATTAAACTGGACAGATGGGAAAAATAACTTGTATCGGACATGAGTGAATGGGAAAAAAAGAGCAAACATGGATCCATTACTTTAGACCGACAACAAAAAACTATTAGAAAAGGGCATTTTTATTCAGGGCAGAGAGTAGATAAAGGATATATGAAAGGAAAAATGAAATGATCAAGGGAGAAATGGAATATAGATATAATCTGACTAAGCAGGGCAGTTTACAATCTATTGTTTTTCTGCTATAAAGCCATACTAAAGTTCCAGTGATGGAGTATAGAGAGTAGCATGGAGATGTTTTATTTATCCTAAAGACTGTTGAACACAATCAGTTAGGGTTCCCACTAACCTTTTAAAATGAGCTCAAATAAAGAGACAGGGATCAAAGATTAAAACCTCAGATTTTCAAACCACCAAAACCTCATTTGCTTACACATTGACACCTAAACGTTATACTTTAGGCAAAGAGTGTAGTGCCAAATAATAAGGTCCTACCAATGTTCCCCCCCATGTTCAAGAAAAGATCTCGCCCGACTAATTTAATCTGTACAACTCCATTTTAACCAGGCCAAGTTATCCTGCCTTTATTCGAGGCATATACAGGACTAGACCTTTGAATATCAGGAATAAAACAGAAAGAAAAAAAATTCAGCTTCCATTAAAATACCTTTTTCTTTTTGGTTTCTAAAACGGCCAACTCAGTGGCACATATAGTACTTAGAAGTGACTTCAGGAAAATCTCCATTATATTGCACCAAGACTGTTACAACAGATTAGTTCAAATACTCATGCAACTAGGTACTGGTGTCTCTTCTGTTAGTTTTATACAAAGTGCTGAAATTATGCAGTCAAGGTTTTGCATTTTAGTGTTTTCCCAGTGCTCCTGGAGGCCTTGTGCTCACCCATCCACCAAGGTCTTTCATGTGCAGGGCCAGAAGCAGGCACGCAGAAGCCAGCTGAGATGCCCTCTCGGGCACGAACTCCAACTCCTGCAGCGTCAGCTCGCAGATGTATCGTGCCAGCGTCAGGGTCTCCATGTCAGCTTGGACACACTGAGGAGAGGCGGGGAGGGGAAAAACAATCTTTAAGTAGGAAATCAGCGTCATTCCATTTCCATTGTCATCAGGCCAAACCCCACACAGCACAGGAGTGCACACAGGAACGCAGTAAATGCACGTAAACTACACACTCTTTGGCCAGCCATAAACAAAATACTAAGGAAAGTTGAGTCCTGACCATTTCTTGGAGACAAGAAAGATGTTCTGAAAGTTCAGAAGCCTTCAGGAACCAGTCTACAAGCTGAACATTAAAAAATACCATAAAAGGAACCATAAAGAAATTGTAAAATTCTGGATCCCTTTGGAAAATTTATGCCATAACCTAGGTACTGTACTATTCTCCTGTTACTCATCAGTAAAGTAACCCTACAGCAAAAAATGTTAACATATAGAAAGTAAAATTATAAATATTGGTCATGGAAGAAAACAAGTGTAAATGGTGAGACACCAAAGAATTTGGTATGCTTACAACACTTCTATAATTACAGGGTTTATTTCTCCTGTGCAGGATAGACTGTAATGAAACTACTACACCAATGTTCTCATCTACACTGCAGTTATAAAACTAAGATAGAATTAGTGCTTTACTAAATTAACCTTTTATAGAAACCCAAAGTAAGGGATTTTTTTACCAATAGGGTGAAATTCAGGGAAAGAGATGGATGTGAACTCCTTACTAGCATTTTTTTCCCCCAAAAAATGAAAACTCCATTTTAAACTGAGGGCAAGACCACTTCCTTCTCCGGTGTTGGACACCTAGTATTCCTTAGAGTGATCATAAACATCTGTACACCTCCTACACAGTATTTTACTATAATTAAGAAGATTTTGACCAATTCCATAAAAGTAGTACAGAGCCAGAGCTTGATCCCTTTAGGACATCTAAAGTACAAAAAATCCCCAAACCCTGACGGTTCAGACAACACCGTACCTTGGCGTATCTCCTTAAGAAGCGGTATGCCACCGGAATATTGATATCAAACTTGAGCGTCTGCAGAACGTCCATCTCCATAGCAATTAGCTCCTCCCTCTTGTAGGCATCATCACAGATGTACAGGAAGTCATCAACACAAGGCGGACAGCGTTCCTGTGAGAATGTGGAAAGGGCACTGTGGGTTATTCTGCCCCAGGAGATGCCTGAGTGTTGGGCTTAAAAAAAAAGGATCCCGCTGTCTACAGGTGCTCGGTCTTGTAACAGTCTAGTCACACTAAGTAGCAGTGTGGTGTAGTAGGAGCTATGGTTTCAAACTAAAATCCTCTGTGTAATTGTTCTGCCACATGAATTGGTCTCTATATAATCATTTTACATAAGTCATTTGAGAGCATCTCTCACCTGGTGGAGCCAAGAAAATTCAGAAATCACAGATGTTTGGCTAAACAGAGACTCAGGTTCCTGTACTGGGCTCAAGGGCCGTGTTGCTTGGGCCACACTAAGAAACGTTGTTAGTTTGATGACCACCTATAATGTGAATCAAGGAGCACTTGTTTCAGGTACACTCGTGCTGCAGAGCATATTACTAAAGATTACTAAGTTTCACAACAGGACCATTAAATGTTCAGGCACAGAGACGGACAACGCTGCCAACATGGTGAAGGTACTCATCACAGTGAGTATAGGTCCAAAAAATTCCATTAGCACATTCACTAGCAGAAGCAAATATGGAGATATTATGCAAGCAAAGCACATCCATGCTGCAATTGTCTGACTACCAAACTGTTCACAAAGATCTAAGAGTGCTTTTAAGAAACAAGTCAGTATATAACACCACATGTGATACACAAGTAAAAAAGCCTAGCAAACTGGTCACTGAAAACAACTATTTTCTTGTTAATTGAGTCTGACAAATCTTAGTTTATAAAAATGGATTTGGGCAGCAAGTTCAATACACCTGGTGCTGCACAGGAGACGACTATTGCCCATCAGTAGGAAGTCGGTCTTCCAATCCGATACAAGAACAACTCAATCTGCAGATCTCATATTAATCTGTAAACTGTATGGCATGCAGTAATGGTCTAGTCCCAGGTTACACGTGAGCAAAAAAATCAGGCACACCAGAAGCAGGTAGAATATGAAAACAGACAGGCTTCTCCAGCAGCTGCCCTTCAAAGCCCTTAAAATAGATGTTTTACCTCAAATTTGGATGCGATCAGCATGGTGGTGGAACCAATGAGCTGCAAAGTCTCTCTTGCAGACACAGTATGAGACAGGTAGTGATCTGCCAGCTTCACTGCCAGGTACAGTGTCTCATGGTTCAGCTCAAAATTCTCCTGAAGACGACAACAGACAATGAGTATCAGGCGGGATAGTTATTAACACTGCGGGATAGAGTCCAAAACCCTTCCCTGTTGCATCCTCCCATACAGTCTTGCTCCGACACTCTCCAGCAACAGCTCTAACCCAAACCAGAAGCATCCAGTGGAATGAAAACTCATGCACTCACCTGAACTTCGACCATCCAGTCCACTAAAATGGATCGCATCTCTCTGTTGAGGTCAGGCTGTTTGTCCATGTAATTCTGAAGGATAAACTTTTCCTGCAAAGTAGAAGCTATATAAATTAGTATATCCACTATAGCTAAAATCTAGGACGTTTCTCTTTACTTTCAATAAAGTATATGGTCTGCTACTCCCATTTGCTAGTGTAATGTCCTGCAGAACTCAGGACTCTGGATCCAGCTGTGCCACAACAGAACAACACAACAGTGTCCGTAGACACTGACACCTCGTTTACTAACAGCAAGTCTGTCACATTAATATAATTGGGTAGCTAAAAAATTAAATAGCAGTTTGAAACTATTTCAAACAATCTCTTAAAAGGCATAGTGTATGGGAGGAAGACACAAAAGGTTCAAGCTTTATATAAAGCTATGCATGAACATGTTGCAAAAAGAGGCAGTGCTCTGCAAAAGAACAAATGCCACAATCTCTCTTTACACCTGCTTGCTGAATGTGGCCACTGTAAAATGAGACATTTAAAGAATAAAGCAATAAAGCCTCCATTGAAAATGCAATTGAGTCAACTAACCAAAATAAACCGGTACAGCAAACCTGCCAAGTTAGGTTAAAACATCTTAAGATCAAAAAGTATTGAGCTATTGTAAATTGTATTTTTGCACTGCTAATACTTTCAAAAAGTATAGACACTTCCACACAGCCAGAATGGAAAAATAAAACTGATACGCTTACAGCTGTAAAGGAAAGCATGTGCAGCTCACTTGGGTTCAAACAGGAGTTTGCTATATAGTGGTGGGAAGAAAAATGAGCATTTGTGCTGCATTTTCAATACCTCTGAAGCAGATCATAAAATGAGGTCCAGAAAGGACTTACTTTTAAGTCACCCATGGGGGGGGGATGATCACAGTTTACCCCAAGGGCTTCCTGATGACCTTATGACTTTTCACCCGTTTAAAACAGACGCACACATTAAACCTTCTAGCTGTCAAAAGCAGTATTAAACCATCATTTCAGCCAAAGTACAAGTGCAATGGAGCTGGCTTGCAAACATCTAGAAAATGAAAGATGCTCATTTTAAGTGTAATGTCCACAACCTACTGTACCTGAGTTTGCCCATTTAAAAAAAAATATTTCCAATTTCACAGCTCTGAGCCAGAGACTCCTTAGCAGGCTGCACAGCTGTGAACATGCAGGAACATTGGCAAGTGCTGTACAACTCCTGTGAGCCCTGCGAGACTGGCCATGTGCTCAAAGGTGAAGAACTCACCAGCACGCAGTTTCACACTTAATTAACAACCGGCGATTCCATATCAGAGGGGTCATAAAACCAGTCACTGGCAATTGGGGAAAAAAAGGCATTGTGATAAAATGACAATTTAATAACTCACCTCGCGGGCCTTGAGGTAGTCAAAGATGTCTTTGGCATACTCTGCCGTCATGAAGCTGTCCTGCAGGTGGTCCTTATCGATGTCAAATTCCTCTGGAATCTGACGGAGACAGTTTGCTTTTATCAAGGAAGGATACAATTTCAGACAACCAAGAATTTACACACCCGTGTTAACGACTACGAAATTATTTCTTCTGTACTGCAGGCCCCCTTAACATCTATGTGCCAATGGTGCAAGACCCACACCGAGAAGCAATTAGTTTACGTTTGAGTAGTCACTGGAACGACCATATTAATGCTTGAGGAACTATTGGAAATACATTGCTCACTAATTTTGAAAATGTCTGCACTCTTTTATATTTTTGAAATGGCAAACATATATTGAAAATGGAGTATACATAACCGGGTTATCACAACTACCTTCAGAAACATCTGCATACCTGTGAACACTGTTCTTCAACCTGGGGCTTCACTGCCTCCTTCTCGATCGCTTTCTTCTCCTGTGGTTTCTCTGGCTTCTCTTCAGGGGTGATTGAGCCAGATCTGGAGGTCAAGATCACAAGTGAAATACACAAAAAAAAAGTTCTTCCACGTTATACAAGATATAAACAGTTAAAAAAAAACATTACAGGATATTTAGGAAAAACATCACAAAAAACAGAGTAAATGTTTATTTAATCTTGGTACAACTTCTGTACAACACCTCACAAAATATGGAAAAAAAAAAGAAAAATATGGAAAACATGGAAAACTCAGAACAAATCACCCTGAAACTTTAGGTAAAAGGAAGTGTCTCTATTCATTTTGCTTGAGTGGCAACCACAACGTTCCTGCCATCATGTGAAAGAACCTTCAGACTAGGACCTGTGGAAAGTTAAAGTTCATACCAAATGCATTTAAATTTACTGTTCTTTCTACACAGCTGATCACAGGCTTGCTTTAAAGATTCTGTTACCTTTTTAAGAACTGATCATATCACAGTTGTCTTTTTTCAGGGTAAAATTTCACTAAACTCTGAATTTTCCATCATAATGGTCCATTGCATTGAATGTGATAGGAAGACAATCCTCTGTGGTGCAACATGAATCAAGAGGCACGACCTTTTAAATACAAACAATATTCCAAAATCTGGCTTTTAAGAGAGATTGCCACTTTTAAAAAGTTGTCTGCTTGTGTCCCCAAGAATGCTGCATTTTACAGTGTGAAGATAAAGGTGGCTCCTTATTAAAAATGTTAATCTGAAAATAGTGTCCAATTATTCAAAATATAAGAAGCATTTGAACTGACAGAAGCAAATTAAAGCATTGTACTGTTGACTTAACTGCTCCATACTGTAAATGTGGCTGCATAAAGCTTGTTTTTTGCCATTATTAGCAACAGACATCTTACATTAACTCTGAAACTTGAGGTAAATTATCAACTGAATGAGTGACGGACTATATGTGGGCATATATTTACCGCATTTACTCACAAATATGCCCGTGTTCTAACTAATGTCCTAAAGTGCAATTGGTCCTCATAGATGATCAAATATATTTCATTAGATTTTTGATAGAATATTACAGCTACAGAAAAGTACCGGCACAATTCAAGATCAACATTCCAAGAAATTCTGTATCACATAGCAAAAGAAGCAGCAGTGACTATGAACCCAAAACAGTGAGCTTCATCTAAACAGTTTTCCATCATGAAATATAAACGCTGCAAGTAAGATCTAGACTACTGACCTGCCTGCTTGCATCTTCATAAAGAACTCTTGTAGAAGGTTCCTCAATCCTTTCAAATGAAAACCTATACACCTAGTAGTAAAAAGCTATAAATCTTCTAAATGCATCCTTGCAACTGGGAACAACTATGACCTAAGTTCTTATTAAAGAGAAACACCTTGAAGAAATGCATCTTACTTCTTGAGATTAGCCTCATTTTTGGCAGCAACAGTATTTTTCTCTTTCTTCTTGACAGAGGATTTCACAGGCTCTTTCTTCTTGTTCTGGGTTGGCAGACCTTTGCTGGCCTAACAGAGGGGGAAAAAAATCAGCTAGTTGAAAACTGGCCCCCCGTGTTCCTCATTCAATTCAATTCAAGGTGCTTTATTAGCATGACTGATGGGTACAATCAGTGTTGCCAAAGCAAATGAAAGTAATGATATTTACATTAAACAAAACAAAATAGAAGTAAAATAAAATCTACATTTACAACAAAGACATATTATAAAATATTGACATATTCTGTAGGCGGCTGGAGCATTATTGGGAGGCATTCCCCTTTCTTTGTGCAAAAAGGGAATTACTAAACGAGATCTGGGAACGCCGGCAGGAAAAGACATTTAAGAACGCATGCCACTTTAAATAAAATACTTACATTTGTAATATCCACAAATGCAGACCTCTTTTTGGGGGCCCCCTGGGGAGATGAAGGCGAACGCTTCACCTGGGTGCCTTCCTCCTTCAGTGAAAGCACAAATAACTGGATTATAACCACAGAAGGGCATTCCGGAACAATTTCCATCAGTCGCAGATTCACAAGACAAGAAGAAGTATAATGACATGGCGAAGATCAATAGCCTCCAGGTAGCTCTTCTGGTACTAGACCAGGGCCTGGTGTCCTCTGGTTTGCATTAGTGTAAGATAAGATCACTTTATTAGCCAAAAAAAATTGCATTAGGAATTTGTCTTTTCGCATACCCCAACTTGCTCTCCATGAGACACACACATGAGACAGGGAGAGAAGCTTGGGGTCAGAGCGCAGGGTCAGCCATTGTACAGCGCCCCTGGAGCAGCTGGGGTTAACGGCCTCGTGCAATTTGATTACATGGGTTGGAAGAAACACCAGCAGATGCCAGGCCCACCAGGAAGGGGTTTTGAGACCCATTATTGCCAATAACTTTTCAATCACAATAATCCCACTCACACTCAGTTGCTCCAAGACTTAAGAAAGAGCTCAAAACTCAAACATGAGGAGTAGCACGGTAGGACAGTTTCCCCAAGGAAGCCTTAATGCATTCATGGCAATCGTCAAACAATGCCACTGTGCATTGCAAGAGATAGCTCTGTGCACCCTCTGAGAGACTAAGAAGTCTTTCCCAGAGATGGTGAGGACCCCTCATGGGGCAAAACAATATAAAACATAAAAATAGAGGAAGTCCCAAACATTAATCAATTAAATTACCAACATAAAACACAATTTACATATAAAGCAATGACTTTGATAAACACTTAAACATTGTTAAAGCTTAAGGTGACAGAGGTGTCTCCGATTTTAGATGAAGTTTGTGCTGCTTGGAATAGCAAACACTTCTTACTTCAAAGGAGAGAGGATGTTTGCTGAGGTCTGGGGACCCCTTGAGCAGAAACAATTATAAAGTTTATCTTAGTATACCTAGGGAAGTGCTGGGTTAACGACTGGCAAGGAGCAGTACAGACACACACAATATAAGATCACATGAAAAAAGAGGGAGAGGAGGAAGAAACAAGGAACAGGCAGCAGGGAGAAGAGAGGAGTCCGGAGGAGTTAGGACTTGAAGCTTGCGCCAGGCGAGAGCTCTTACTTCTTGATCACCCAAATCAAACCTGACTGGAGCTAAGTATTTGGACCTTGTTAGACAGCGTGCTTTTCTGTGTTTTTAGGGAACTTGGGTTTTCCTGGGTAAAAGATACCTCAGTTAGAAACGTCTTTCCTGCTTAGGGTGCATTTTTATGGATAGGGATATAGGCTCCCATTATTTTCATGGCATCCAGGGTGTAGAGAGAGAGATTTAACTGCAGTTGCATTCCATTGAGTTAGAAGGCAGCTTCTCTCTTATGTGGCCTCTGAAGGCATTAAGAGTTTAATGATTAGTAGCAGTCTCGGGTTTTCTGGGTGACCAGAATGTTAGACCACTGAAATGCATAGAGACACTTGTGTTGTATGTTTTGTGATGTTGTTGGTGTCATTTTAATAAATATCTGTCCAACCACGTGTGCCTGGATTATTACTCCTCTCACTAAAGCTGTGCCAGAGAACAAAGAATTCAGGTGCCTCTAATTATACCAACTGCTTGGGTATATTGCTAGAAATCACTTACAAGCTGGGGGCTTATTTCACCAATTGACTTAACTGCTCATTCAGTTCCTGGTTCTCACAATTTTTGTAACCCACCATTTAATAATTGCTTACACTTATATAGTGCTTTCCTGGACACTCCACTCAAAGTGCTTTACAGGTAATGGGGACTCCCCACCACCACCACCAATGTGCAGCACCCACCTGGATGATGCGACGGCAGCCATAGTGCACCAGAACACTCACCACATTTTAGCTTTGAGTGCAAAGATGGGGATTATTAGGAGGCCATGACTGGTAAGGGCCAATGGCAAATTTGGCCAGGACGCCAGGGTTACACCCCTACACCATTTGTAACTATCTATTCAGACACAGTGCTGTAAAAGTATTCATTTTCCCCATCATTTGTACTTAAGTACTGACTAGGGTTTTCTTTTTTCTTCAAATTTTGTGCAGACTACACATTGTCAAAATGATAAGACTGTGTTATTGATGACATTCGGATTGATTAAGATGTCCAAGAACACCGGCTGTAGCTGGAGGCAATGTCTGTCGGACTGACCATTAAGTGAACAAAGGCGCCAGCAAACGATACTACCTATGATAAGTAGAAGCCAAAATCGCAAGCACTAGTCCACTTCATTTTACATTTCTTCGACTATACCGTGCTGTAAAGCACATTCCCGCGATAACTGCCCCACGTTCTAGTTTTGCACACTACATACAGAACATTGTTGCTTCGCGTTTTATTCTAAAGCTTTCCTTGTCTGACAGAGTAGCATTTTTGGGTTTTAGTTTTCCAATTATACATCGACTTTCACCCTTGTGGACAAAATCAAAATCGGGATTACATACCTGTTTGTGTAGGGCATTCTCCATCGCAGGTCCCTTCCCTCTCAAGTGGGGCAATTTGGAGGTCGCCTGCTTTCTACCTCTCGAAAAGGGCATCTTTAGCTACTTCTGTCACCAGAGATCAAAGCAAAAGCTTTCTGCAGAAAGAAAGGCTTTTCGTGAAAAGTGCCGCAGTGCTACTGCACACATGACATTTAAATGCTGTTCTGCAGATAGAAACTGCCCTAGCCTATCGCAGATAGCATCTAGTTGCTGTAAAAACTGCAAACTGTCCAAAATGTAAACCTTTTACATGATTGCTTGTCCGGAAAATGGTACGTGCCTACAGAGATTTTTAGTTTGGAAAAGGACGAGTAAAGAGCATTTGTGCACCCCGTCACGGTAAAAAAAAACTAAAGGTTTAGCAAAGGAAAGTACCAGAATCTCAGGCTACTGATGGAAAAAAGAGATGCGATCTTCACCCGAGCTTAAACGACTGTATTTCCAGAGTTTTGTTACCATCCAACCTAGCATTTCGGCATGTTTACACGAAGCATTGACAACGCTGGACCACCGAGAAAAAGGATCTCTCACACATATGCTCGTATCAACTGTTCGTGAGCTTCAGAGCAAAAACCCTGCAAACAGAAAACTAAGCATCATGACAGATTTTTAATAGTAATTTTGTGCATGCAAAAGTCACACAATGCTCTTTCAAACTAAACCTCAACCGAGAAAAACACAAATATAATAAAATCCTTACCTTCCTTTGAAGACCTTTTGGTACCTTACGAGTGCCCTTAATAGCTTCAACAACATAAAACACAAAAAAATAAAATAAAATAGCACTTTTGGTAGAAAAATTGACAGATTTGATTACTGCTATTGAGCGCTTGGTTATCAAAAGCTAGCGATTCGCAAAGTTCCACACGAAAACCCATTGTTTGTCCTGATAGGCTGAGGACTCCACTGCACGCCCAATCAGCGACTCTCTAAGATGCCGTTGTTAAGGGGTGGAGCAATTAGAATTTTCAAACTTCTTAGCAACCAATAGAAAGAAAGGAGTGATGACATGTGTCTGTGTTTTTTAAAGGGTCAAATTATCATCAATTATAATATTGATGTGTAAGAGGGAGTGCATCTTGCTTTCTTTGAGACGTCATTGCTTGGCGCCGTAGTAAGACTGTGTTAAGCAAGTTAGATTACTAAAATCAACTCGTTTTAGGGTAACTGAATGAATTCATTTTTATTGGCCCTAAAGGAATGTGCCTTGCACATCAAAAGCTTATGATCATATAACATACAGTACGACAGTAATAGAACAATACGATATAATAATACAAAACAACATTCGACAAACAGGAGTAGTTATCTGGACACTGTTCAGCACTGTTTAAAATTATTTTAAAGCTTTGTTAATTACAGCAGTTCGATATTTTAAGGTATTTCACTTTTTCTACAGTGTGCCACTGAAGGTCTCACTTTTGTCTACCAGCAACGGGCTGTCCTGAGGCATTATGCAGAATTCAGATAATACCTAACAGTGGTTCTGCTACTGGTTAAGACCTCACCTAGTATACATTAAAATGAGCAGGGGGTGAACAATAATAAAAATAATTGCTTACACTTACCTGTATATAGCACTTTTCTGGACACTCCACCCAAAGCTCTTTTCAGGTAATGGGGACTCTCCTCCACCACCAATGTGCAGCATCCACCTGGATGATGCGACGGCAGCCATAGTGCGCCAGAACGCTCACCACACACCATCTCTCAGTGGGGAGGAGAGCAGAGTAATGAAGCCAATTCATAGATGGAGATTATTAGGAGGGCCAATGGGAAATTTGGCCATGATGCCAGGGTTACACCCCTACTCTTTTCAAGAAACACCCTGGGATTTTTAATGACCACAGAGAATCAGGACCTGGGTTTTACATCTCATCCGAAGGACGGCGCCTGTTTACAGTATAGTGTCCCCGTCACTATACTTGGGCATTAGGACCCACATGGACTACAGGGTGAGCGCCCCCTGCTGGCCCCACTAACACCTCTTCCAGCAGCAACCTTAGTTTTTCCCAGGAGGTCTCTCATCCAGGTACTGACCAGGCTCACACCTGCTGAGCTTCAGTGGAGCTGCCAGTTATGAGTTGCAGGGTGATATGACGTACTCCTTCTATTGTATAAGGTGTTGTAAAATTTGTTTTTTATTCAGACCGAATTAAGAAGAGAAAGTGGAGACACAATATAAAGGGAGTATGCTTTTATTTGAAAACACGAGCTAAAAATTCATAAAGGGAATTTCGCTTATCAGAGAGACATAACACCCTATTCCAGCATAAAAAGCCACCGAAACACCAGCAGACAACTCGGCCTAGAGGGCATTCAGCGTTGCAAACTCAACAATAGAAACTGTGCCAAAGAAGTAATAGAAGAATAAGCCTCAGGGACAAGTACTCAGGTTTGTCATGGGATGGGTTTTACAAATAACTCAATAGGTGAGTAAACAGAATGAGTGCCCTTCAGAATCTCGGCTCTGTCTACCAGCACCTTTGTCACTACAGTAGCTTGTTACAATTTCTGCAGCAGCTGAGGTTTTTAAACAGGAAGTCAGTTTAATCTCATAGCTACTGCGGCACCATCTCTCAGTTCCTCATCTTTCTCCTGTCAACACACGTCTGTCTGAATAGCCATTTTTTTCATCTTAATTTTTTTTCCTAACAGCAAAAGGCAAACCTGAGGTAAGTGGACCACCCTGTTCTACATAAAATTTAATCGGTGGGGAATTATCTTTCCATTTGTTCCTTCATCTTGCTTTTTTAAACTTCTTTGTAAAGTATACAACAAGGAAGACAGAAAGCGTGGGCTGACACAGTTGCTCGGTTGCTGTCAAACCAACTCAGAAAATAAGTAAAACGATACTTAGCTTGTTTTTAGTTATTTTATAGTCTACTTCTTTTTTTAATACCTTCAATTTCAGATAACTGATTATGGCGATGTGAACATGCTTTAAATATCTACTCTGAAGAGAAAGCGCAACTAAAGGAGTTTTGTTATTTTAATTTGAGTCACTTTAAGGAGGTGCTGGCAAGAACTGGTTTCTAAAAAACTACAGCTATTATAGCAGTTCGATGAGATGAAGTAACTGCTCACCTTATCTGACCCTCTCACGGCACAACGCACAGTTAGATTTGCTGGTAGGGCAACTTTTAACCTGAACAGGAATTCAACAACAAGTTGAAAAAAGATGTAAATTTGCCTCCCACCTGCAAATGCTTTAGAAACAACTTGTTTTAGCATGCTGCACTATGCTACGTAAAACACAAAAGTCAAATAGGACTGTTTATGTGATGGAAAAAAAGAAGTTGCGATACCTTACCTAAGTGTTGGTCTATTTTCGCTGGGTAAAAACATCTCTGAGAATTACACTGCACTTTCTTTCATAAGGCTCAAAGGAGCAAGTCTTTATCTAACACGGCTATGGGTGTCCAGGGAGATTGGCTGAATTTGAGGCATAGTGAGTTTGTACGTGGCTGTGCAGGCCAAGACAGCCAATGCAGAAGCAGACAGTAATGTTTCTAGTGAACATTCGAGTGGGGAACGTTTGTCAGCATGCTTTTGGCTGAAAAGGAAAAAGTAAAGGTTAAGTCCCTGATGAAAAGTAAATAGGAAAAAAAACAATGCTTCTTCTTTCAGCTGTAAATACTTGAAGAAGGCTCAACAGCACTTCAACACTTGAAGAATGCTCAACAGCCTACATCGAACACTTTTAACTCTGGAATTCACCTTTACTTATTTCTAGTAGCTGTGGGGGTAGTTTTTCTCCAGTCATCATATGCAGCCACACACTGGCCCACAGTAATTGTGATTTTGTTTTATTTGATTTCCAAATCCAAATTTTGATTTCCAAATCCTTACTGCTAATGCTGCCCTGAATCAGTGATTGTTTCCACTTTCAACTCCCCATAATGTATGAACTTCAGTAGTCATGAATTGTCCACATTGTACACAGAAACACCATCTTAGTCATGCCCTAGAAAAATAAGCTTAAGCAGCAGAGGTTTGTACTTGTCCCTGGACCTCTGTGTTTATGACTTTGTGCTGCCTAGACAGAGCTACGTCCGGAAAGTCTTCCTTACAGGAGCGTGGTTAACCCAGCCTCTTGGTAGACAGTAAAAATAAGATTAAGATTACTTTATTGGCCATGTACAATTTCTTGTATTAGGAATTTGTCTTTTTACGCATACCCCAACTTGCTCTCCACGAGACACACAGACAGGGAGAGAAGCTTGGGGTCAGAGTGCAGGGTCAGCCATTTATACGACACCCCTGGAGCAGTTGGGGTTAAGGGCCTTGCTCAGGGGCCCAACGGGGTACGATTCCTCTGCCGGCCAGGGGGTTACGAACTTCATAAAGCTGTATGAGTCCTTTAACATGTATAATGTGCTGGTAATGCAATCAAGCCTTCAAGATTAAAGCTTATATTAATATACTGTAGATTATATTTAATTTACTGTTACAATTTTTTCCTTTTTCATGTTTTTGCCTGTTTTGTATCCTCGGTTTACTGCTGTGATCACCATCTGGCTCCCACCACCATATGCTACTGACAGATCAACCTTCTCCACTGTTTTTATCCTCGATTTTTGTGTCAGTTCATGTTTCTACTGAAGGGCACAGGCTCTTGGGCTAGCCTTTCACAAACCACGATGGTTGCATAGCTATGACACCCAAGATAACATATTAAGGAGGCCCTTTTATAAACTGTGGTTTCAAATAAGATTCAAGTTCTCATTCTGCTGGGGCCATTTTTATATCTTCCCCGACAATACCCATAAAATGCATTTGACCATTAAATTGTTTTGTCGCTACAGGCAAATTCTTAGTCCGAAAAAACCTTGATATAACAAGCTTTCTGCTGTGTCCTTTTTCCTTACATAGTGTAGTCGAGGTTTTATTGATGAGGCAGCTGGTTGAAACATAATCTAAAAGAAAACTTTTTGTTTTGTGATTTTTTTGATTGAAGGAAATCTCTGCATTGCTACTATCCCATTTTTGTACATATATACTGCATTGCATATTGTTTTGAACTTCCTATGTTGTTTTAAGCGGTTTATCTCATACTGTGAATACCCCTTTATTGCACTATGCATAGTACTGTGCCTAGACTCGCCTTGTTTATCTTAACATGTTGTGCAATCTAAGTTAATCTCCTTGTATTTTGATACTTCTTTCACGTGGCTACTGCCTGGGATAAAGCAGACAATCTAATGAATAATTACATTTAAAAAGAAGGAGTTTTTATTTGAACAAAAAAACAAAGTGCCACTGTCCCCACAGTCAATCTGGATACCAGGTTGTGGGATTTCGGGATCTTGACTGCATGTCACCTCTGAGGCAGGGAGTTAATGACTTTGTTGATCTTCAGTTAAAAATCAAACATGCCTGTAAACATAAAAAACGAAACAATCAGAATCACGGGCTTGAACCAAGCAACCATTCGAAAGCCTTTGTTCTTAAATTGAACTTTTTAGGAATGTAAGGACCTATCAGAATAATGCACATCTTCCTCTAATAATGTAGTCCATGTGATTTAAAGAAATCTTTGTAGCCTTTGTGGGATGTGGAGTTTTTACTGCACTAGACGGAAATCCTAGTGAAAACTCATCATGTTATTTCCTTCACATTTTGTTGTCCAAGGACACTTTAGTAATCAAAAGTATCTAGACGTATTACTCACTCTAATAATCTCTTCCTTCCTGTAGCACGGTGACTTCCTGCTGAGCTATTGCAGGCTGCATTTGAAAATTTGCCTCTGAAATATTGCTTTCACATTTTGTACTGTACGTACCTTTATCAGTTTAGGCAGTTATAGTGGGGGCCACTTTACCGTGCCTGTTCCTGAAGCAGCATGCTGAAAACCACATTGCTTCCTGTGTGGCTCATGGCCCTGTTTCTAGAAACAATCAAAAAAAGCTGCTGTGAATTAGATTAGACAGAATTTATTTGAAACCGTCTGCAGGTGGAAGGGTTACAAAGCTTGATGGCTTTCAAATATTTACCTCTGTACTAGAGACAAAGCTCCCATCTCATTAAATTAACACCCTTTGAGCTGATCCCCAGTTAAAAGTCATTCAGCACTGTATTAATGTTTCGGCTACCATATCTGTGAAGTATAGAGTTCCCAGCAGGACTTGATACTGATATCCACAGAAACATAATTATTCAGGTGAGTAGCTGCGTCAGCCTGCGTAGGCTGCAAGAGAACACCTGAAGAAGGCTCCACGGACGAAACGTTGTGTTTTCTTTCTTCTCTTTTCAGCATGGAATAAACCTATTACTTGTTAAACATAATTATGTTTACATTCAGTTGTGAGAGTGGCTCTGAAAACTTGCAAATGAGAATAAACATACTCATATACTTAGGTCATTTGCTGCTATGCACTACAATGATGGTGATCTTTGGAGGTATTCCTTTACTGTGCAGGTTTGAAGTTTTTTTTTTTCACATTCAGGAAATGTCACTTGAAGAGGAGTGGCTCAGCAGTAGACTGAGGCTCTGTGAAATCAGCCCTGACTCGGAACACACTACAGATGCAAAGCAGGTATGCCCGTCTGCTGTTAAATTCAGTATCTCGTGGCTGTTCCAGAAAGTACCACAAGGGGGATCAGGTGTTTTTTCCTTCCAAGGAAAAAAATTGGTGTCCATTCACCAAAGGCAATAACACTGTAATCTGTAAAATACTCAGTCTAAAATTCATGACAGTCAGCATCACAGACTTGAACAACTGGGAAATACTGACATGACAATACTATACTTTCCTTTTAAGTTAAACAAATGTTTATTATTTATTAATATATCAACATAAATATATTAATATAGTTATTAATATATATTTATTAAAGTATATACTTATTATTATTGTTATTATATGTCTTATTACCAGGCAGGCCCCTAATTTTATGTTACATCATTATGTTTGCAGACACCAGGAATCATTCATTTTAATGCAGACTCATGCTCCACACCAGCCTATACCAAGTCATCTGTGCTCGGTGCACTCTGGGAATACACACATGTTCTGTGTGAGGCCCGGGACAGCAGCTCTGATGACCAGGAAATGGAAACTGACACACGGTCTGTGCAGTCTATGGCACGAGTGCCTGGAAACATAATTCCCACCTACGCAGACTCCTTGGCCAGAGAAATACTAACATCCATGCAAAGCCAGTGGGAATCCACTGAAACAGGAGATTTGCCATTAATTAGAAATAGTGAGATTTCACAGTCTGGCTGCTGCCCAGGATCCATCAGAAACGCAGGAACATGGCCAAGACACACAGGTAACACAGGGTGGCAAAGCCCTTCCACAGGACTAAATTCCTCTAGAGATATTGACATGGATGAACTGGCTCAGAAGATCACGTCCAACGTCATCCAAGCAGCTCTGGAGAAGATTGGTAGAGGTAAGTCAGAGTATCTGGCTTCTTCACAATGCAGCATTAGGTCATCTCCAGAGGGTAGAGAGCAGTACAACCTCCAGTCGGTGGCTGAGGAATTTGCAACAAAAATGGCAGCTGAATTGAAAGCAGAATGCATGCAGGAGGTTGTGTCGCTTCTTTCAAGATCTCTTCGTGAAACCAGTGATCACACAATGAATGAGTACACAGAACCATCCAAAAATACTGATACCGGCTATGAAAGCTCTTGCACTGTCAGAGATTGCAGCAGCAGGCAACATTTGTCCCATACAATTTCTGAGTCTTTGGAAGAGCCTGCAAATGAACCCTATTCAAGGCCTTGCCAGTGGCTCTCAAGTTATCGCCGCCCGACCTCCTTCGGCAGTTCAGTGTCCACATATTCCAGTTATGTTTTGGCCCAAATGAGCCTCCACACCAGGAGCTCCATAGACTATCCTGATGCTCCTCCCCCAACACCGCTGGTCCCCAAGAAAGCCAAGAACCGCAGCAGTTTCTCCAGGAAACTGAAAGGTGGACTGGCTAAGGAGTTTCTCCCATCACCCCCTCCTCCCACACCCAAGGACCAAGCCTGTTCACCTCAGGAGGACCCAGACATGGCTGACAAGAAGGCAGAGTTTGTAGACAGACTCATCCGCTCTCTGTCTCTAGAGTGTTCCCAAAGGGAGCAGGAAAAGGAGGAGAATACTTCTGGTCTGGCACTGCCAGGAGATCAATCCCCAGCCACTGAGAGAATTCTGGAGGACAAACGTGCCTTGTTAAATTATGCAGCTCAGTTGTCTTTAAAGATAATCAACTGGGGTTACAACAGCTTGGCTGACCTTAAACAGCTTTCCAGTGAGAGTCTTCCAAAGTCACACCCTACAAAGGAAACAAGTGAGGCCAGAGAAGGAGAGAATCCCTCATGTCATGTAAAAATCAAGAGCACTGGCAAAGACAAAGCAACTAAGCAGAACAGGACTCATTGGGACATTCTGCAAATCCATGCGAACCAATGGGCAGGGAACGTAATTAAAGAATCATTGAAGATTATCTCCAGACACGCAGAAGAGGCCAAAAGCGGAACCCATCCAGATAATCACTGTATCCTGAGCCAGGAATCACGAGTTGTTAGTTTTAGTGTTGAAGGAGCATCTGGCTGTTCACCTTTAACATACAACTATGTTCCTTTGTCTGAAACAAGTTCTGATGCTACCATTATTGCCACTAGTCATAATTTTTGTGCACCTCAGAAAGCCAACTTGAACAGCCTTACTAGCCAAATGATCTCTGACATTCCTCTTCAAACCGTACAACTGCTTCAGGAACCCACTTCAGACAGCTTCAAGGATCCAGTCTGTGTAATAGCTGAACAGCTGAGCAAAAGAATTGTGAAGGATTCTCTTCTTTCTGTGGCAGAAAGCAAAACAGCAAAAGCTTGTGGATCCCCAGTGAAAAGATCTGGTGTCCACATGCCGGAATTGAAACCAAGGGTCCGACAGCCGGTGGTAACAAATGGTAATTCTCCTGAAAATCTGGATACAGTGGCAGTGAAAAATTCAGTGCAAGAATCTGTGAAGACCCATGTTTCAAAGCAGGACAACAGTCTTGACAGTAAACTCCAATCAGATACAAAACTCCCCCTGAAAATGGCAAACACCCAAATGCCAGCTTACAGGGCAGTCTCGCACCTGGATAGTCAAAATGACATAAGCACACAGCAACTGGTGGGCGTGCTCCACTGGATCACAGCCTCCCAGATGCAAACATCTGTACTGGAGATTGCAACTACAGCTGAGCTACTTTGCAGCCAGGTAAGTGGTTCCCACCCTTTACTATTACAATTGGTCAAAAAAAACCTGCATAGCGTCTACAGATCAGTAAGCTTCTCTGATATTTTAAAATCATACGGCACTGAAAACAATAAAGAAGTAAATTACATTCAGAAAATGATTGAAAACAACTGTAGGAAATGGGGTGTCTGTGTTGTATATGTAAACACTGGAAAAGCATACGACATTCAGAAAAAAAAGTATTTTATTGGCAAAATATATTATATCCAAGAACACACCATATGATTTCAAGGCATATAAAGAAAAGAGGTGTATAGATTTGCAAATGTATTTAAAAATATCAGGTAAATATGGAATATTTTTAAAATTTCCCTTTAACTACTAAAAAAACTAACAAAAACTACAGATGAGGATGCTACAGTATATAGGGTACACCTAATGGACCTCATGGTGATTTTTCTAGGTTGTGTTAATCTCAGTCTTATGGATCTAACACATACAGTATATCTGACCATTTTCAGCAATAATAACAAGATTATGTTTTTATCTATCTAGAAATGCCTGTGCTCGTGTCTCATAGTTCTTAACTGCAGGATTCTTAGGCTGTTGAGGTTATTGAAAGGGATTTAAACCTCAGTGAATTTTAGATAAAAAGTTATAACTGATAAAATTCATTAAGTTTTGTAAAGGGTTTTGTTGTAAATACTGTATACAGACACTGGCTGAAGTATGACAGACTTACTGTATGTCATGCACTGAAGTCAAGTATCAACATTGCTGACAGCGCTGAATGCATCAATAAGAAGTATGAATTTGTTTAATTTTAATAATTATTTTAATTAATTTAATTTATTAGTAGCAGTAGAAGTCAGTGATTGGACAATAACAACATTTCCTGAAATTATGTTTTCTCTGCGTACATCACGTTTTAGAAAGGTTTAAACTAGATATTTCTCCAAAAGTATGGAAAGTGATGTAGGTTCTTCACACCTGACCTCTTTCATAATGTAATGGTCGGAGGATTCGCACAGAATGAAACACACCCTTTTTGATGCACAGGCAACACGTTTATGAACCTCTGACTTTCAGACATAACAGACAGAGGTTTAAAACTCGTGGGGGGGGCAACAGAGACATAAGCGGAAAGCAATGCACACCAGGCACTATTTACAATGCTTACTCAGTAACGTGCTTCAACTATTTATAGTGTAAGGTCAATCCCAGGTCAACGCACTGACCACAAGTCCAGTCCCTCTGCAGCTGTTCCCAGACTGCCTAGCGGGCGCCTAACTAATAAGGAGGTGCAGCCGCTTAAACGTCCAGCGAGGGCGCTACAATAATAAATTCAATAAAAGGCAGTTTATCTGTAGATTTTATTTAGAGGTTGGGGGAGAGATAAATGTAAAAGAAGCTAGATTTGTGTTCTGTTTATTCTAGTTTTAAAGAAATAGTAAAAATGAGTAACCTACTTAAGTTTGGACCAGCCCTGAAATACCCAAATAGTATAACACTGTTAATACCTTAGGGAGCTGCAGTTTGAAGCTTGCTCAGTCTGAACTGTAATACCTGTTTTGGGCCAGGTTAGGGATCTGTGATGAGTGACCACTGTGCTGTTGTTCTGTGACTCAGTTCTGCAGTTTAGGGTCCTGTGCAGTGACCAATGGATGGACTGTGGGAGACCTCTTGACCTCACTGCTCCAATACTGTGAGGCAAGGCAACATACCGAAGCCAGGGGGCGCTCTCTTCCCATCTCTCTGCTTGAGTGGCTTCAGACACAACTCCAGGCTCTGCGGTGACTCACAGCTCTCACTGAAGATCAACAGCACAGACAATAACATTAAGAGGGTGAATGGAATTACTCTAAAACAGGAAAAGGATCTGCCAATGGTATGTTTGTTTTAGAGCAGTGATGCACAACTTGGGATCAGCAGGGTTTATAGCAGTTTAAAATTGTGGAACGTATTACATTCATCTATTTAAATTCAAATAAGAGCTATTAGTATGTCAGTTGAAATAAAATGCACAATACTGTATAGCCCACTAGAAGTAGTGTTCCCTGTGATAAAGCCATGTACAGTAAAAAATCTATTCTCATGAATTTTAAATGTACACAGTACTGTGACACTCTAGAGTAAAGAGAATCCTAGAAGTACCTAAACTAAGTACTAAGAAATGCATTCGAAATTGATTAGAAACTTTTTTACTGTGTTGTATAAATAAAAGACAGTATACATTATCAACACTCTGACTCTTCCGTTCTGAAGGGGGAATACAGTATATGCTAACATGACACACTGCTGCATCAGTAACTTTTCCTGCTGAAAACACATGGCATTCTTATCCTACTGTACTGTACTCATATTTGGAAAAATGCACGTGTCTGAAACTGAAAAGTGTCTATGCATTTTTTCACAACAAACTTTCTGAAATGTAATCACAATGTCCATTACCACTAGGTACCCATTCTTTGAGAAAACATATCTGTGGAAACACACATGTTGTATAATATTAAAATAACATATAAAAGCAGAAATATTACTTTAAAAGTAGGGTTGGAGAGCAGTAGCTTCATTACATATTCCAAGCCTTTCCTGTGACGGTGATTCAGTGTGAACAGAGAACCTCCATTGCTTCTCAGTCTGAGACCAGCTTTGCTATACTATGACAAAATAGCAACAGACAACAATGTGATTTTTGAGATCACAGAATTATGGGATTCATTCTATATTCATGAAGTTTTTTTATATTTAGAAAACCATAGCATGGATAGCAAAGCATCCCTGAAAGAATGGTTAGTGTGAGAGACAGTTTCTAAAGTATTTCAACAATCTTTAAGTACTAAACAATTTATGCATTAAAGAGATTCGCAGGTGTGCGGCCTGTCCTGTTTTTTGGTGTTCTTTATTATTGTATGTTTACATCTCCAAAGCACCTTTTTAAAAGATTCTCAGTTCGAGGGGTTTTCACACCCTTCAAAACAAGTGACCTGTTTTCTTTTCTTTCATGCTGGAATTCATGAGCACTCTGTTACATAAGAAAAAGCCACACAGAAAATAACTGTGGGTATCAAATGAATTGAGAGTTTAATCTCCCTCTCAAGAAAAAATAAAGAATGTTATGCAAGCCAAACTAAACCTCTCAACATCTCAGACTCCAGGGCTAAACAACAAGATACCTACATGCTGATTGAACTCAATCTGGTTTAGAGACATCAGATTTTCAGTGAGGTGAAATTGAATACATATTCCATCCATTCACTTATTTTCTAACCATTTTAGCTCATACTGGGTCACAGGGGAGCCAGCACCTATCCTGGCAAGGAATGGGCACAAGATATTAGCCCATCACAGGACACACACTCACACCCAGACCAGTTTTCCCAGAATCTAATGAACCTGCCAGCATGTCTCAGACAGTGGGGAAAAACTCATGCAAACACAGGGAGAACATACAAACATGTAAACAACACTCCAAAAACCCAAGGAGCCAGCACCGCAAGGCAGCAATGTTAGCCACCATGCCATTGTGCAGTCCTGTGGACATACTAATTTCTGTAAATATATTTACAAATCGACCTACCACCCAGGGTCTTACTTTTCTCTGATGCAGTCTAATCAACTGATTTGGTGTCACTTTCACATCTTGTCGTTTAAAAGCCCAGGTGGGAACAGAAATAAAACCTGTCAGATCTTGGAACTGATTGTTCTAAACCAGGGATAGTAAAAAGATGGGGATAACAACCTCCTCCAAAGGAAATTAGAGAAATGGTGATGTCTCTTAGTGGTAATTCTGTTACCGGAGCTGTGTCAAAGTCAAAGGATCACTTGCAAGCAGATTTGCTGTCGTTATAAAAGTAATTTCCACAACAACATCTTAGTAGCGCAAGATCTTGCCTTCGGCCCTTCTCAGTTTTTTCTGATGACTGACAGAAAGGTCAGCCCTTAAGTGTGTTCTCTGGAACAAAACGCTATGGAGCCCACCGGAGAATTTGAAGACTTGCTTTCCTTCTCCGGCCTATGCTGTCGGACCACAGCTGTAGAGTGAGACATTTGATATTCCACCAGCAAATCTGAAGTATAACTGGCCTGAAACCAGCAAATTTACAGCCCACTGATCAGTTGGGATTGTGTTGAGCTAGAATGGGTGGGGACCATGAAATGGCCCCCAGTTTGTGTGGGGGAGATATGCAGAGAATTCCCGTACTGAAGAGCTCTGCTTTGTATTCAGAGACATGGAACCTCCGGACCTCAACAACTGTGTCTCAGCAAAGCTGCAGAGAGAAGAGCTGACATCACCTACCACCCCCACGGTACAGCTGCCGCAGGAGGCTAAGCTGTGTCACAGACTGTGAAGCCTCGGTAGAGACAGAACCATCTGTCTCCAATTTGAAGAGCCCAGAGCTCTTCAAGGAAATGAGAGGGAAAAACGCCATCAACAACAAGGAATGCAAGAGAGCCTCATATTACAGTTTTCTCTGCCACTACACTTTCCTTGTTAAAAACTGAAGACAAACTGTTTTCTTGTTTCCAAACTGAAGATACAACAACTCTCTTTTCAGTTTCCCCTAACCTATTTAACCTTCGCTACTGCCAACGTGACACTGTTTCCAAGCTATTAATGAAAGGTGTTGAAGGCTCTGATCATCACTGTGCCTTTCCTTGTGACTCATCCTAAGTTGATATATTCAAATTTTCTTAAAGGTCAGCTTCTCTTAGAGCGCATTCTAGAGGAAACTTGCAAACGGGATTTGTTTAAGCTTGCTTTGATTTTATACAGTATGAAACTTCATATGAGTACTTTACTGTTTGGGGGAGATAGGTCTGAAACTTTGACAACATGGAGTTTGAATCCGGAAATAACATAACCATATAATTAAATATCATGTTAAATAAATAATTATCATGTTTTTTTACTGAATCTTTTAGTTGTGACTCAGTTCAAAAAACATTCTTTACACATGGCAATCTGAGCAGGGCTCTGGGATTTGAGTACCACTATGCTGCAAATGGAACTGTAATTTAGGGGGAATGTTGTTAACAGCAATGACCAGTTTTAAATAAGTACTTTTCAGACAACAGTCATCTCAGAGTGCTTTTCAGGTCAGGGTCAAGTCTGGGTCTTTGGTGCCCACAATTTAACACATTTTTTCTTGGGCTCTGCCAATCATCAGCAGCTCAAACCTAAGAGAAAAGAGTATTAAACTGGTGAGACACAGCTCTCAAGATACTTCACTCAGACTCTAATCAAATGCCCAGCTGTTTAAAGACAAAGACACACTAATAAAATGTAAAAAATAAAAAAGTAAAGGAATAGATCAAGGAACCAGATCAACTAATAATCATCATCATCTGCAGATGATACAAAGTATCCAAGGAATCCTACTACACTTAGATCCACAGACTCCTGGACTGGAGCCCACAGCGTGACAGTATGGAGAGGAAGAGAAACTTTAGTTTTCTCCACCCCGGTCCCATGGGACCCCTGTGTCTGCTGTTTATTGTTCCAGATGAGGTCTAAATCTCCAGGGTTAATTGATGCCTTTAACTGAGTTGTTTGCTTCTTTTGGTTTACTTGTGCCTGTAGTCAATCATGAGTTTAAAAAATGTTCCACGTCAAGTGTATTGTTACCAACAACTCAGCAAACACAAATGTTAGGCAGATTTTTCTCTGCTTTCTCACTTTTATTTCTGACTAACAGTTCTTAGCCCTTCCACACATCTGAGTACTTGTCCTTCTACAAAGGACTAATTTGTTCAGGTATCACTGCTGAACAAGGGCAGTTCTCACACTTGAAAATTGGTACAGCGCTGCTCCTTATGACAAATCCCATTCGGCCTTTTGACAGCTGGAAACAAATTTCAAATTTATCTGCAAATGTAAAACTAAAATCAATTAGTCTGTGATTTAAAACTCAGCTGGGGCAAAAACATACAGAACATACAGTATTGTCAACCAGGACCAGGCTTGGGATCCAAACTATTTTTTACAACTATAGAGAGTATAAAAATAAAAGCAGACAAATACAATCAATAGGCTGATGATATACCAACACAGTATGAAAACTGGTTGTGTTTAGAGTTTTAGATCTATTTGCAAACTTTAAATGGAATTCCACACATGAAAACCTGATTAAAATATTAAAAATACTCAAAAGCACTGACAAAGTCAACATAGTGGACTTCTTCAGAATGAGACAGAGGGCATCTAACAGGTTACTTTAGGTAACCTAAGCAAAAGTACTTTTTAAACTGAGAACTGGAGGCACTACTTTACACAAAGGTTTGTGAGAGTATGGAACAAGCTATCCCAGCAATGTTCTTGAAGCCAATACACTGGCCTTCTCTTGTTTATGACCTGTCGTATGTCTTTATGATAAAGCACAAGAAAACACTCCACCTTGTGCAAGCAGTCCAGACAGTGCTGACACAGTGGGTTTGTGCATCATACCCCAGTATGGCTGTAGCTTCAAGTTAGGAACTGTTCCTTCTATGCCAAGTGCTTGTGTACTGGAGCCTTCATCTCCACTTGTCAAGTGAAAGCTTGGTATAAAAAAACTGACATGCCTCAACAGAGGAGAAAGGTTCAGTAAGGGAATCTTAATAATACGTGAACACCTAGAGTGCCCTTGTTAATCAGCTCTGGCCTGCTTCAACCTGCAGACTGCAAAACAACCATGCTACAGCCAAATCTTGCAGCTGTAGCAGAGCTCCTGCTTTCTCAATGTTAATGAAATACAATTAGAAAAAAGGTACCTATGAAAATAAATAAAATATTGAATTAAATCATTTATTCAAACTAGCCCTGCAAGCTAAATTAATTAGCCCATAAAATTCAGAGAATCCTTTGTAGTAATGTGAGGGCTTTAATTTACTGTAACAGTTAGAAATTGGAACAGTAAATTGTGAGTTACTGACAAGGAATCAATTATGAATCAATCAAACATAATAATTTACTATCTCACACACGTATTCTAAATATACAATATATTGAAATAACTTCAAAACATGCATAACAAAAATACAAACAGAATATATTTGTGAAACAATCTGCGGTTATATGAAAGGCTAATCGTTCACTTAGGGATGATAAGGAGAAGAAATAATAACTACATAACAGTATGTAGACTATAACATGTCATGGTCTACCTGGTAAGTTTTATTACTCTCATATTGCATCACATTCATACTCTAAGACACAAGTAAATATGCATTTAGTACTGTTAACTAAACAACATTTGGAATAATAGTTAAACTCTAGAGAATTCTAATGTGAACAAAGAAGTTTTATACTTAAAGATCTGTTGGTCAAACATCATTTATGAGTTTAAACCTCCCGCTAGCTGAGGGCCCCAGTACAAAGTGAAGAGAAGGAGTTAGTGAAAGTTAGTGTTGCAACACATTGGTCTTTAAAAACAGTATGTGCATGGTTGTCTTCTTGGGTCCAACTGCAAGGTATACAGGTGGCAGAAGTAATTTAATCCCAGATATAGCTAGGTTCTGGATACGCTCGGATATTGAGGATGTCAACAAAAAAATAGCCCAACTGTCTTGTTTTGTTGGCCAGGTGAAAAATACAGTGGGTTAGAAAACACAAGATATCTTCTTTTACAGAAAGAATCTCTTATGCAGAATTCTGTAATGTACTGACTCACTGTCTTTACTTGGCATCTTGGAGAAAAGTTTAAGTCCTTACTCAGACTGCTTGCAGTGACCTGGTTTGAAAAATCAGATTGCCAGGATGGTTGGAGAGAGGTGAGGAGCCAGTGAGTTAACCAATGAAAAATGAGTTGGGTGCTAGTCTTTAAGGTGTGACATCAAAACTGGTGAGTGGTTGCAGATGTTAACAGGTTTAGTCCTGATACTCACCCTGCAGGTCTCCCATTTGTGGGTTGTCCTTTGGGTGATGAACAGTGTCCTTGATTCATTGTTCTGGAATTAAACAGACTACAAATTCTATAAAGACCATCTATGCTATGTATCATTAGACTGTTCAGCATTAGATAAAGCTTTATAATGCCTTTCATCAGAGGTGCCTCTTAGCCACGTTCCTCTGCATTTACATTGAAGCACCAGGCAGTTTGGTTAAAGCGCAGAATATTGGAAATCTTTAAAAACACTACACATCAGTCTATTATTAATATTAATAACAATATTAATTCCTTATACTTATATAGCACTTTTCCGGACACTCCACTCAAAGCACTTTACAGGTAATGGGGACTTCCCTTCACCACCACGAATGTGCAGCATCCACCGGCAGCGATAGTGCGTCAATACACTCACCACACATCAGCTATCAGTGGAGGGGAGAACAGCATGACGAAGCCAGTTCACAGAAGGGGATTATTAGGAGGCCATGATTGCTGAAGGCAAAGGGGTTATTTTGTCCAGGATGGCAGTGGAACACCTCTACTCTATTTCTATGACCACAGAGAGTCAGGACCTTGATTTTACATCTCATCCAAAGAACAGTGCCTTTTTACAGTTGTGGGCCCCTGTCACTATACTGGGGCATTAGGACCCACACAGACCGCAGGGTGTGTGCCACCACTAACACCTTTTCCAGCAGCAACCTTAGTTTTTCCCAGGAGATCTCCCATCCAAGTACTGACCAGGCACACACCTGCTTAGATTCAGTGGGTTGCTAGTTGTGAGTTGCAGGATGATATGGCTGCTGACTATGTCTTATTGCAATAGATTTTTTTCTCAGCGGTTTCCAGGATCTTGCTTATTACCGGTCCCAGACCACCGAATGTTAACAAAGGTAAGCAAGGCATCTTGTGAACTTATTTTTTACAGAGATAAAATATATTTTCAAATGTTATGCTTATATAGATGTATATGCTTATATTGAAGAAAAAGACCTTGTGCAGGTTGTTATTCGATTTTGGGGCCAGATGGAAATGAACTCTAGCTAACATCATTTCCTCCTGGTCATAACTTGGCCGCGCAGACTCCTCTGGTGAATACAGGAGTAATGTGTGAAAAGAAAGTGAAAAGAATACACTTGAATAGTGAGAAGGTTTCTTCCAAATAAACTTTTGATTAGCGCTAAATACTTTCTCTTAAATTATAATTTCTAAATACAAAGCCCAGGGCACTTTCTAAAGCTAAAGGGGATATCGATCAGATTTAAGAGTAGTTCACAAGTCTAAAAAGGTCAATGCTGACTTGTTACGGCATTGCCGGCTTGCAGATGTGGAGTTTTTGCGCCTCTCAGTGGCAGAGAGCTGTGGAAAGGGTTAACTCAGTTTATATTGTACCTCCCTCGCACCGCAGTCTCTGCGCTCGGCTGGCAGCGCTTCAGAGTGCACGGCGCTGAGCAGGCGGGATAAGGAGTTATTAAACAGCACTCCCACACAAACCTTGAATCAAAGTAGTTTTGATTTTCAGTCTAAAAAACCTAAGGTTTTCCTTTGGATCACTGGACAGGAATGCAATGGCTAATCATAATAACCAGGATTATTTCCGATCTGCCAGCAACGACTCCACCACTTACATGATGATGCCGGCGAAGAAACAGGGGGATGCGCCGTCAAAGTTATGGCTCGCTATGGTGGTCATTGTTGTGGTCGTGCTCCAAATCGCTTCCACTACCGGGCTGTTTGTGTACTTCAACATGTCTATAGCGCAGGTAAGGGAGTGTTTTTGCGGTACTGAAAACTCGGGGATGTGGTCGAGGTGCAGACGTTTGATCTGCGGTGAAAAGAGAGCAGAACTCACAACTTGGTAAGATATCAATTGTTTACATCGGTTGGGGGTAGGTGTTCATGAGGGAAAGGGGAATCCTAAAACTTTGTATTATTTAAAATCATTGCAGTTTATGGTGATTTAATCATATCAGCTGTGTTGCCTTAATTCATACTTATTTCCACCTTAATGCTTTTGTAGATCTAATGGAATGCAGTAGAACCGCGTGCAGGCAAAATATGCCGTGGAAATGTTTATATACTGTATATTTTTTAAATCTCTACATTCCGTGTAAAACAGAACATGACCACCTTTACAGTTTTCTTTGCCCTCTGGGATAACTTTTTATCCACTTTTCCAATCTCTGGAAAACTCATTTTGCAGAAGCGCAAAATCCCATTGGGGGAAGTTGTGAGTTGGGGGGTCGCTTTGTTTGATTTTCCCAAACCTCCATTGTCTCTTTCTTGAGTTGCACATTTAAAAGTTTGCTTTTAGTTTACGAACACTTGTAGCCAGTGTACTCTGGGGACAAAAGTGTAAAAAAGCAAATGCGTGCCTACAAGTCGTGAACATGCCATTCTTTGTGGAGAGTCGTCTTGGCGACTGCTATCGTGAAGAAGTTCCTGCAGCTCTATTAAACGATAGTCAAAGTACTGACGCTCTTTTAATTATAGATACAACCTTGCTATCTTTAAACAGGAAACGTGGGACTTCAGGTAAACAAAAATCCATGAAACGAACACACAGGGTAGCGCTTCATTTAATCGTTACATTCAATCACTCCAATCGTATATAGGTAGAACAAAGCTTGTTCTGTACCATTTAGAAAGTTGAACAGCTCATTTACCAGGGTGAGGGAGTGCAGGTTAGCATCCCACTTCGCTCCCCGCTGTCTGTTTTTAAATACAAACTGCCACCACACCCACCAAATTGCGAACATTCTGAAAGTTACACTTTAAATTAAAATAGAAATCATCGGGAGTTAAGTGTCTCTTTGACGTCTCGAAACTTTCTCTGGCCGTTTCCATAAGGACGTATGGAAGATGATATTATGAGCGTGCTTTGCTGTCGCGTCATTATGGATTAAATTGGGCAGTTGTCTGTAGGGGGATTTTTATTGACTAACATATTTTATTAGTTACAGATGCAAGTAAAATACTGGCATAAAAACTTCAAGCCTATTTCCCCCGGACAAGAAATTTGTCTCACAGAGCCTGATTTCAAATCTAGCATGGTTTTGTTTGAGATCATCTCTTATACTTCAGTCTCAATTGAGAATAAGGACATAAGACTCTTCAAAACTAGTTTGAGTTTACAGAGCTAACTCACTGGGGGCTTGTGCTCAGATCACAGCACCAAATAAAGCATTGCACTAAAAAGCTGTGATGTATGCAATTAAACCTTCTGAGACAAAGTATCAGGGAGATTTTATTAATTTGATTAATTGCACTTGTGAGTGTTAGTTTAACTTATATCAGAGTGCCTTGTTTAATCCATAATGCAAACAAAAATACCTGAAAGTGTCTGTGCATTAACTAAAGTTTGCAAAAAGATGAGAGAATGCTATCGTCTTCTGAAAAGAGCCCAGCAAAGAATAATATAACTTTGCACTAAATTGCTTTTGCTGACCAGTTGTTCTCTGTCTAATTAGACTACATTGTGCCTATATGCTACTCCATTTTTGAGCTCCATAAAAAGCTTTTAAGCTTTGACCCAATTAAGAAAGCGTATTGTCTCACTACTGGACCAATTGGGAATAAAAACTTCAAAAATCTGATGAGAACCTCACATCCTGCTCGCAGAGAATCCCAAAGGTCTGTAAATCTTACTCTAGCATACATGTTCAGCATCATCACATTCAGTCCTCATGCACAGAAAACAAAAAATAACAATTTTCTTATAAACATTTATACAACTGCAGAGAAGCAACAACGTTACAGCACTCTGAAAAAACCTTCAAGAGCACCATGCACTTTCACAACAAGATAACAACAATGCCCGTAAAGACCAGATCACCCCAAACTGGATTACTCAGTGCCTTGTCTTTTCACTTTGTGGGCAAACAGGGAGCACAAAGACAGATTGAAAACATCACAACACCAATTCAAGGTTTGATAGGATGGAGGGGAGGAATGGATTGACTGTTGATCTGTGGTTTATCAATTGGAAAATAAAGTCAGGGATCCTCAGCTTTGACGTCATCATCATTCTTGGTTGGTTTTACCCAGTTTTGCTGAAACTTAATGGACAACATCATGATAATGACCATTCCAGTGACTCCATCACACACTGACATAGATGACACTGTCCCGTCTTTGCAGCAGAGGAGAGCAGCAACTGGAGAGGCCAGAGGGGGAAAGAAACGTGCTAGTTGTGGCTTAAAGTAATCTACATCTCATTGGCCAGGGGCCAAGATGGTCATAAACCCCTGAAGGGTCATTTCTCCTTTGTCCACCACAGGATTTAAAAGAAGAAACCAAGTTTATACACACAGAAAACCAAAAGTAACAAGGTAATAATTAATAGGCTTCTTTTACTGAAGATCTAGACCTTTTGCCTGAGGGCAAGTAATAACTTTTCCTGTTACTGTGCTGCTTCCTGTAAAGGTGTGTGAAGTCTCAGGAGGCAGTACTCCACCTTTAGACTTATTTACAAGAAAGGGAAAGTTGGCCAGAGCAGAATGACCTACTGTATTTCAGGGAATTCCAGCTTTGGAAGGATAAGAGCCTGGCCACTGAGAAATCTGTTTTCATAAGCACTGTGTCTAATCCAACTCCTTTCGCTAGTAGTGTACAGTCTATGTGGCAGGCCAAGCTACAGTCCACCTCCTGATTTCAGTTTATTTTTGCAGTATTCTATCTTGAATGAAAACAAAACGTGGCCACTAAGCATAGACCAGGGCTGCAGAATGTCTGCAGCTCATAACCACTTTTCGTTGTGTACAGCAATTTCATAGCACTTAAAGAGGCCTCACTATCTAATTTTGTTGAGTTCTGTTACCCTAAATATGCGCTTTTTAAAACTTTTTCTGAGCTGTGAAAGAGATATGACTACATAAACAGTCTTTCATTGGCATTTCTGATTCGGCTGTTTTGTAAAATCCATTTTGAGCCCAGGAGTCAGCCCAAGAGACAGGCCTAAGATGTTTTCTAAGTCAAGGTTTGCGACTCCATAGAAACCCGACAAAAAGTTAGTTGATACCTTCAGTCTTTACTCCAGTGATATTTACTACAGTACATACAGTAGACCTCTGCCACTCTTCTGCACAGCAGCAAATGTCTCTACACCCTGCACTCTACACTACGTCGTGCCCATTGGAAATTAACATGAAGTACTTTATATAAGAAACAGGAATTGTGCAAAATATACTTTATCTTTTAACCAAAATATATTAGTTTTCGGTAGCATGGTGGCATGGCAGTTAGCACTGGTGCATGGCGCTAGGTTCACAGTCCTGGGTTCAAGTTCACAGTCCTGGGTTCAATTCAGTTTCTGTGTGGAGTTTGCATGCTCTTCCTGAAGCCAGGTGGGATTTTGCCGGATCCTCTGGTTTCCTCCAACAGTTCGAAATAATTCTGTCTAGGCTGACAGACATGACAAACATGTCTACAATGCCCCTTGTGCCCCTGTGATGGACTGAAGTCCAATTCAGGGTGTATCCTACCTTGCACCTGCTGGCCAGGTGAGGCTCTGGATCAGATTGACCCTGTAATGGTCTAAGCAGTTATTGAAAACAGATGGAGTGTCAGCTTCTGTAAAAGACATGGGGTTGGGTTGCATCCGGTATATATTTATACATTCAGTAGACATTACTGTATGTATTACAGCTCTCTAGGGGCTTTTGAATAACTGACTAGTCTCATTTGATCCTGTAATAAAATCACAGACTAGAAAAATAAGCAGCACTGAAGGACTGCATGTCTTGTTTTGATCATTAGTTTCTCTCATGTTCTTTTAAAGCTGTTCTGTGGTTTACTGATAACTATGTGATTCTCACACGAGTACACAGTAGTCCTAAGCAATATATACATTTGCAGAATCACATTAGCTTGTCTTTAGTTAGAAAATGCAAAACAAATATAAGGTCACGAAAAAAACAAGTGCCAGGTGTTTAAGTCTGATAAACTAGAAAAAATAACCTATTTTAAGAGACCTCATTGTATAGTTCCTAACAGTACCAACTATTTTGAATGTATAATAATCACTATAAAATTAAAAAGTGCTTTTCAATGGAGATTCTGATGTTTTCTGTTATCTTTAGTTTGGTTCTGAGCTGTAGTTCACCTGGAAATCATTCTGCGGTGAGATCCCGTTTTTGAACTCTTAATTTCTGGATAATGAACTCAGCTCATTATATTTCTACTAAACCAGTAGGAGGGTAAAACTGAAGAATTGAATTCATAATTGCTGCCACATTAAAGCTTTTTTTTTGTCACATCGTTTAAATTTCAGTGTTTTGTTGCTTTCAGCGATAATGAAAATTGGTATGGAGGAAAAGAAGACAAAAAGGAAAACTACACAACGTTTAAAGAGAAAAAAATACATTTTCACCATGTCTTAGTTTTTGCACTTGCAAAATGGAACCTTGCTGTAAAGACACTAATACTGTAGTGTTAAAATCCATAAAAATAAGATATCTCAATAGTGCTATTATGTCAAGGGTATTTATGAGACAGGTATTGAGAAACGTGTTTTGAGTAGTGAATCACAACAACTGCTGGCACTGACAGAAAGTGCTCCTGGTTTATGACTTTGGTGCGATCACAGATTTGTTACCAGTTTCCTGCCAAGTTTTTAAAGCAATTTTTTTTTTCTGTGAAGTGAAGTACAGTAGGTGAGTTTTGTTTTCCCCTGCTAGGTGTAACTTTAGGCAAAGTTGACTGCACAGAGAACACTAAGCCTTGTAAAAGACATTGTCTAATTAATCGTTTCCGTGAGTGCTGTTTAGTTTCTTCTTAACAATATCTGTATAAAACTGAAATCTGAAGCCGATTCCAGGAAGGGCCTGATTTTTTAAAGACCCGAACCTGCAACCTGCATACTCCCTGACCCACCCCACTTAATAAAAGCCACAACCTGACCCTACCCCAAATACAAACAATAATCTAGTCAACATAAGGTCATATATTGGCTTCGTAGTGTTAAAGCTTCCAGTGTAATCAGTCAGATTTACTAATGTAATCAGTAACATTAAGAGCATTATTTTCAAAGCACTAACTATTTTAAAGGAGAACTGTTTAAATGTTAAATTAACTACCGTTATGGATGTTATGACAATATATTAAATGTTAAATTAACAACTGTTACAGGTGTTATGACAGTTTTAAATGGTTAGTGAACTGAAAACATCCCCTCTAAATTCTTTGTCAAATTACAAAGAGAGTTCCGGGTACCAGATGACTTTCTCGTAAAACAAATCCTGCCAATGAAAAATCCTTTGCTTGGGGCACCGGTTGCTGGAATTGACATGACAAAACTAGTTTTTCGAGCCGGGGTGATCAAAATCTTTACCTTTGCTTGCTTTCAGAAACTTCTATTTGGAAAATGTACTAATATTCTCATGCTAGGAATTGATTGATTCCAGAATAGCATTAGATTGTTCCAAAGTGTTTCAAGAGATGCTTTAAGTGTCTTCTAGTGTGGATTCTGCAAGTTAGCCTGTTTGAACAATGGTCACTGTATTAAACAGACGAGTACTGTTTTTACCATCTAAAAATTGGCATCATTACTCTGCTCTCCTCCCCACTGATAGCTGATGTGTGGTGAGCGTTCTGGCACACTATGGCTGCCGTCCCATCATCCAGGTGGATGCTGCACATTGGTTGTGGTGGAGGGGAGTCCCCATTACCTGTAAAGTGCTTTGAGTGGAGTGTCCAGAAAAGCGCTATATAAGTGTAAGCAATTAATAATAATTATTATTACTGCCATCCAGCTTTGTATCAGGCAACAATATTAGCCCTCCTGATAGCTTGCTTTGTGTTCTCTGCAGTGTTTTATAACCAATTGTCTCATTTGGTTATACACAGGACTCCTACAGCTTTCACTTTTCAATGTAATGCATCACTGAGAGGTTACCTATAATGTGATAATCAACCATTCACATGTCTAGTATCATGACTTCCAGACCTCTTTTGCCTGAGTTTTCTTCAAGTTCAGGAAAGATACTTTACCAAGTTTGTTTTTTTTCTGCACACTTAACTGCTTTTCGAGAAACCAATTCCTCGAAAAGCTATGTGGAACCACCAACATGAGAGAGTCTTGTGTTAATTCACAAAATCCATCCACGTGAACTGATTCAAAATATCTTCCATCTTTACCAAGACCAATATTCTTTAACTCATGCTTTTGAAGAAAATAGCAGCCAAGGAAGGGGGGTGAATTTGTGTTAATGGAAGTTCCAGTTTTGGGGTTGACATGTGAAAAACAGACTTATCAATGAACGTGATAGAGAATACACACTGCAATACAATGGGGCATGGACATTTGAGTGAAATGCAAAATGGTTCTTCTCTCTGACAGACCAAGAACCAGGGTGTCACGGAGGAGCTGAAGTGCCTGCAATTTCTGAACGCTATTGAGGAGCAGATCAATAAGGGACACGACATTCCTGAAGAGCTGGCCAGGCTGTTTAGCAGTGAACCCTGCCTAAAACTAGCAGAGGGCATCAAAACCTACATCTCCAAGGTGGGTACTGCTGTAACGTGGATCACCATGCACATTTCACAGTGATAAACTCTCATGAAAGTTCTTGCAGTGTTTGCATTTAGTGTAACTCCCTATGAAGAATTAATTAATTAATTTCATGCTATGGTGACTTGCACAAATATTGTAACGCATGAATGGAAGTTAAGTGATTCATGATTACACCCTGCAATTGTTTTTAAAATTGAAATCAATTCTAGATGGCAATCAGTGACTTCACCTAACGGTGTGCCAAACTCAATTGCAACACAAGCAGTGTTCCAGATGTTGTGTGTCAATGTGGCTTAGCCTTCTTAGCTATTTCCAGATACGTAACCTTGCAGATCATCAGGGGTTTAAAAAATGAACCGAACTTCTCTCCCTGCTAGCCATATCAGCTACTTTTTAGGTTAACTGTCACGATTATAGTCCCCCCTCCTTAAGGGTGCTCCAGCCCTTTCACGTGAGACTTTATTCTGTGCACCTGCTCCCTATTCCCAGCCCACCTTAAAAGCCAGGCACTGACGCTCATCCGGGCTCTGCATCTGATTTCCATATCATGCGAGTCCGGGACCTGGAAGCGCCTGGTCCCGTTAAGGTTTTAACCCCTGTTCCTGTTCCTTGTCTGCCGGTTCCGACCCGGCCTTCGTGTTTTTAATTCCGTGTTTTGATGGATCTCCTGGTTTTGGACTTACTCGTGTGTTTTTGGATACTCTAAGGATTACACTTTTGGATTGTTTGCCTCGGCCACACCTCCCCCGTGCACCAGCGCACCTTGGACACGCCCCCTTGTCTTCAGCCCCGTATTCCTGCATGATGTTTCCCCAGTGTTTCCCCACTTCGTCGGATTGTGTCGTCCGCATAGGGTCCGGAAAGAACTGGCTGTTACATTAACGCTTTAACACAATTGTCAAAAAATAACTATGTACAACTACATGTATATATAAATACATGTATAACTATGTAGAACTACAGTATAACTACAAAAGCTATTAATCACAAAAAACTTCCCAGTGAACTCCAGTTTATCTTCTTCCTACTAAGAATCAATCTACAAGGTAGTACTGATTGACTTTATCCAGCTGAATAGCAGAATAATATCCCATACGTCTACTAGAGCTGCTACTGCTGCTATTACTAATAAATATATTATTATTGCATCTTTCACGTCAAAGCAAAGCACCTCTCACTTTACAATATATTTCATATATTAAAGTAGAAATAATTAATATAGCATTTGCAAAATGAAAAATGCCACAGAAATCATAGTAAAATACAAATAGTTGATATTTCAAATTATTTTCTTAATTCTTCTTATTATTATACCTTTGCCTGGAATCATAATTCATTACAGACAGTACATTCTCAATGTAATGACATTTAGAAGTGTAAAAGCTCTCCCAGATGTGAACAAATACAGTATGTTATCCAACAAGATCTGAACAATGCTGATGATATGGGTGTAAAGAGTTCTACAGGCTGGGAGTGGTCTCCCTAGGCCTTATGCCATTTCACCCTTGGAGTGCCAGTTTAATCAGATCACAATAGAGGTTCTGGCTGATAAAAAAAGAGTATTTTAGTCAAACAATTTGGTGACATTGTACTCAGTTCATCAAATATAAGTAAAAGTATTTTAAAATAACTCTATCATGCACCAGCAGCCAAGTTCTGCCCGGTCTACACTGTCTACCCTGTTTTTAGTTTTTGTTAGCGTTCTAGTAGTTGCATTCCGTACAAGTAGACATCAGAAATTATGTGAAGGAGCAGGAAAGAATTGAAATACAGTTTTTGAGATTTAAAGGGGAACTGCAACACTCTTGTTATATTTTGGGGTTGGAAAGGATCGGCATTATTGTGTGCATTTCAAACCACAATGAAAGAAAAATGTACACAGTAACGTGGAAAACCTCCAAATTACATCACAAAATAGATGAGATTTCCAGGTATGCCCAGCGCCATATTCTGCGATTCAGAACAAGGCATTCAAACTTCCGGTGACGTGACGCGGGATTATGACATTGCAAATAAGCGGGCTTTGAATCCAATGGAACTATTACTCTCGATTTCGAGACGGTTTTGTTGACAAATACAAGACAAATACAACTTGTTAAATCTGCATGCAGCTCACGTTGGAACATTTCTGTGGAGAAACGTCTGCTGCACAACCTGTTGTTATTCCATCCTACGTTGCATAACATTTGTCCCTACAGTGACTAGTGAGCAGGAAGGGCAGCTTCATGTCACCATTTGTGCAAGCTCTCGCTCGTGGAGAAACCAGAGGTTTGCGACAACATGGCGACTATTCAGTAATTTCACAAAGTTCACAATTTTGTGATTAATTTGGAAAGTAAAATTGTGCGGTACCATCAATTAATTTATTTTGTTACCTTGATTTAATAACCGGAAATTGGGACTGCAGTTCCCCTTTCAAACAGCGTATGTTATTTTCTGTGCATTAGAACATATGAATGAGATTATATTAGCAATGTTATAAAGGCAATTGAATAGTGTGAATCAAAGCATAGTTTGGAATTAAACGTTACTGCATGATTCCTCATCTTAGATATAACAGATGAGGTAAGTAAACCTTCTTCCTGCTCTCTGTGTTGCTAAGAAGCTGTTAGTGTAACCTTTCTCTTTGTCTTGATTCAATTGAAGACATTTCTGAGCAAACCTAATGACATTAGCATTACAATTGAGTGAAACTAACAGAAATAGCTGGGTGTGTTGTGCATAGCTATGAAAGTTCTTGCAGTCTTTATAAATAATTGTGCTTGTAAAGCACAAATACCATGTATAAAGAAAACAACAGAGGGCCCAGTATGGATCCTTGTGTAACACCATTTATTATTATCGATTCCTTATATAGACATAAATATTGTCTATTTGTTAAATACGATCTAAAGTAGCTCACAACAGTTCCCAAAATACTAGCCCATTTTCTAAAATGATTTTCATTTACTGCTTTGGCAATTACCATCAGGGACAAATTGTCATTTTAAATATTATTTTTTCTAGCCATGGCCTGATGTACTGTATCATGAAAGTCTCTGTATTAATTATTATTATGATTAAAATACAATTAAAATCCTCAAAATTGCTCTGAAGTAATTTAAAACTAAACAGTCTGAGATTTTTTTAATGAGATTTTTTATTAGTTTAGTTATAAACAGGTTTAAATGCCTGTGTTGTCAAAGAACTACTAACTGCAACACTGTATCTTTATGGAAAGGTACTGTAAGTGATTTTGTGTTTGTTACTTTTGCGTTAGTTTTTGTACATTAATCAAAGAGAATGAGTTCTTTGCTGATTCAACAGGCCTTATTAAATCAGAATAATTTAAGAACATTAGAAGGGTTATTCAGCCCAGTCAGACAGTTAGGTAAAAAAGACAATCAGATTTCCTGAAATCTGATCTCTTATAGGAACTATTTTGTTCTGAAAGTAAATAAGGAATTCTTCACACTTAGTCCTGCAAATGAAATAGTAGTGTCAGTTTCGTTGAGAAAACTATTCTAGAGCTGTGCTTGTTTTCCTTGATATAATTGGAAAAATAAGTGTTTTTGCTAACCTTAACGGTTCATTGCATATCAGTAAGAGCTGCTTTAGAATGTCAAAATTGAACAGGAATTTTTAATTTGTATCCTGCTAGGCAACTCCAGTCCATGAGGACCTCAGCATTCCCTGGTTTGCATTTCACATCTGATCTTACATACTTGAACTATTATTAAACAATTAGTGAACTGTTATAGAATTTGTATAATGATCAGCTTTTCTAGGTTTTAATCAGTTATTAATAGAAAAGTATGCACCTACAGTACTTCTGTCTCCTGCTCTAGAGGATAGAGATGCCCATTCTTGCCCTGTAGTGTGTGTGGAATTGTTGAATAACAGCCATATTCTGTAACAACTCCTGACATATAATTCTTAAAGCACTATGTGATGACTGATGGAAAACAGTGGGACTTTACACATTTAAAATGGCTGCTGAGAATGTATTGTCTCTAGTGGTTTTCCTCTCTGACCCTGGAGTGATAAAACCATTTCACCAAATTCTGAAAAGGAAAACAGGACCACCCAAAGCTCAGGTCTTTCCCTTCTCTTGTCAGAGCTTTTAGAATACCTTGTGCTTTTGTATAATGTCTTTTCCCCCCTTTGAACAATCAAGAACAAGGAAGAGGGTTTCTGAAGGTTTACTGAAGCAATCTGACAGGAATATAGAGCTCTAACATTCTTCTTCTCTTACTAGGGGATTTAGCAACTGTCTTATGCTACTTTCCTTGAAATAGCATGAGCACCCTCCACTTCCCTATTATTTTTTGATTAAAAGAACAGCACTGTACGAAAAGCTATTAGAGTCCTAGCACTTCATTACTGTAGGAAGTGCTAGGCCAGTCCACGTGTTGAGTTTTAAGGCAATTATCTAAATAAAGAGAGCTCCGAGAGTTGTCCCCTCTATAGTGAAGTTAGAGAACCTGGGGGAAAAGTTGGTAATGAAGCTGCTGAAATGAACTGCAAATAGATCACACCTGGATGTTGTTTTGAAAACTCATGACGTCAGTCACCC